CACTGAACAGAACAAAGTGAATGAGGGACTGTAATATAAGAGGGAAAGAAAGAGAAACTTTAAAACTGTTCAATTGTTATGATGTGTAAAGACTGATATTGTTCTATAATCGGCTGAAACTGTTAAGTCATGATGTGAAACGGTTAACAAAGAAAAAGAGAAACTCAAGCTGCTGCTACACTTTATTTTATTTATCTAAAATTAAGCACTTTTAAGATGCACACATTTTCAAAAGCTATTATTTATTTTCTCTATTTTATTTTTTTAAATGCAGCCAGAGAGGAACATTACACATATCCACAGTATTTACTGTACATCTGTATAGTTCAATGATAATTGACAATACATATTGTTGTTTATGAATTGTACTTTCTTTATTTGATTGGCAGTCAGTTGTTGATTACATGCAGATGTTGATAAAGCTACAGGCTACTTCAATATATATCACACTAATTCATAAAGCAAGTTAGACATTTTGAAGTTCCGGACCCTTGCATGGGGAGATTTTCTCTAACTGGATACCCCTGCAGCAGTGTCATAAAACCCCCTTGCAAAAACATCTATTGATCACTCACACACATTCAAAGGTCACTCCAGGGATTTGACCTAATCAGTCAAACCGTTGACATTACATTTTCAGAATACAGCAGTATTTCATTAGGTTTACACTGTATTAAGCTTTAGTACCATAATTTCCATCACATACCCGACATATTAATAATATGTTCCGCCATTGTTTGTTTTTCACGGGCCTTCAAAATAAAAGTTTGAAAAAAAGAAATTAAAAAAAAATGTTTTTTTGGCGACCCACCAGTTGAGAACCACTGATCTAGAATAATGCTGCCCTATGACATCATAACAGATTATTTTCCAGAGTCAGAATCTGAATACTTCACTACGGCAACCGTCAGAATGTTGTTTGTCATATTTTTTACAAACATATATATATTTAAATTCAAGAAATTACTGAATTAAAAATGTGTAAAAGAAATTAAATGGAATAGAAATATTGATATGGTTCATAATAGGTTGCATTTTAAATTTGCAATAGAAAATACAATAAAAAAATAACAAAAGTGTTATTATTATAAGGAGTTTAAGCAAAATGTATAAAAAAAATAATAACAATATTTTAACCAATAAAAGGAGTTAAAGTAAAAATGTGCAATAACATTTTAATACAAAATAGTATCTCTGGGCCTTGTTCTCGAGTGAGGGGACAATGGAGTTGTGGTTGAGGTGGCTCGTGCAACTGGTTAGGATCCACCATGCACGTCCAGCTGGGAAGAGACCATGGGGCAGACCCAGGACCGGGTGGGGGTTTTATTTTACAGAAACATGTCATTATTCTGAAATTCGGTTCCAAACTACTACATTTAAGTTTAAATAATGCCATTCATATTCAGTTTTCTCCATAATTATACAAAGTGTATAAATACTAGTGTTATATAGGTTTTTGTGCATATACACTGTATATATACAGTGGGGCAAAAAAGCATTTAGTCAGCCACCAATTGTGCAAGTTCTCCCACTTAAAAAGATGAGAGAGGCCTGTATTTTTCATCCTAGGTATACCTCAACTATGAGAGACAAAATGAGAGGAAAAAAAATCCAGAAAATCACTTTGTCTGATTTTTAAAGATTTTATTTGCAAATTATGGTGGAAAATAAGTATTTGGTCAATAACAAAAGTTCATCTCAATACTTTGTTATATACCCTTTGTTGGCAATGACAGAGGTCAAACGTTTTCTGTAAGTCTTCACAAGATTTTCAGTGCATGACATTAAGGATTTTGGGAGATGGCCCTGTGGGCCATCTAAGCTAATTTACAGATGGCCCTGAGCCCAATAGAGATTGCCCTGAAAAATGCGCGCGGACGAAATTACGCACAAAGGGTTTGGGGGGCCTCCCCCTAGAACATTTAGATTTTTGCAGGTCTTAGATACTGTCTGGTGCATTCTCTAGGCTGAATTATAAGATGAACCACCACAATATTATATTGTACAATTTCAATTTTATTCTTCATTTCACTTGTTTGTTTGTTCTTGTTTGTGTTTGCTCGCTTGCATGCCCTGCATAGCTATAAGAAATACTTAAGTTGTTGGTCAAGACACTTTCCATCTGATGAAGGCAAATGCCTTCCCAGATGTAAAAAAGTAGAAAACATTACATTCAGTTATAACTGCCAAATCAAACATTATTTACACTACTATGGCCCCTGTTAAAAATGTTTGTAATGTTATTTACTGTAAGTTGGTCGAACGAATGCCTCCTCATCCGGAAGCTGACCGAGCAGACCCGAGCAGCAGTCGAGAGGAGCCGAGCGCATCCGCGAAGCACACAAAATGGCGATGTCAGAGTTCCCGTTAGCCGGCAAATCTAAATCTCTTCGGTCAAAATGTCCGGTCAAAAATAATTTCCCTTTAGCGCAATACCGCTTCAGTTGCGCCACTTATGTGACAGACAAGAAAGTATGTGACAGACAATAATAGTCAATTCTAATGTCTAACACTTAATGTGGAGAAAGAGATGTCCTGTATGGGTTGATTGTGCGTTGATCTGTTGGTAATGCCTCAGGGTTCCGGTGGGCATGTAAACAAATGCATAATGCTATACTTTGTGGCCTCACCCAGTTGCATAGCGACACCTATTGTTTAGGTGTCTTTTAATAAGCAGGTAGTCATATCATTAGCTAGAACTAGCTGGATCTGATCGATATGGACATAAACGCGAGTGAAGTCTAATCTGACGGGAGAGAGAGAGATCAGCTGACGAGTCGACACGCAGCTCTGCATGATCACATGCAGCGGTGAGCGGAACAAAACACACACTTCAGGTTAGAATATCACACGTAGCTATTTTAATGACCTCTCAAACTACCTAAAATAGTTATAGATATGTTTAGTTTTACTGTCGGGTCACTCATTACTGGATCTGCGAGCTGCATGATACTGGCATAAAAGATTGCCCGATCGGGCAACCAGCAGGTGAGGCTTCATTGCCCGAGCTAAATACGGGCGGTCCTTAATGTCGAGCCCTGTTTTCACACACTGTTGCTGGTATTTTGGCCCATTCCTCCATGCAGATCTCCTCTAGAGCAGTGATGTTTTGGGGCTGTCGCTGGGCAACACAGACTTTCAACTCCCTCCAAAGATTTTATATGGGGTTGAGATCTGGAGACTGGCTAGGCCACTCCAGGACCTTGAAATGCTTCTTACGAAGCCACTCCTTCGTTGCCCGGGCGGTGTGTTTGGGATCATTGTCATGCTGAAAGACCCAGCCACGTTTCATCTTCAATGCCCTTGCTGATGGAAGGAGGTTGTCACTCAAAATCTCATGATACATGGCCTCATTCATTCTTTCCTTTACACGGATCAGTCGTCCTGGTCCCTTTGCAGAAAAACAGCCCCAAAGCATGATGTTTCCACCCCCATGTTTCACAGTAGGTATGGTGTTCTTTGGATGCAACTCAGCATTCTTTCTCTTTTTACCAAAAAGTTCTATTTTGGTTTCATCTGACCATATGACATTCTCCCAATCCTCTTCTGGATCATCTAAATGCTCTCTAGCAAACTTCAGACGGGCCTGGACATGTACTGGCTTAAGCAGGGGGACACGTCTGGCACTGCAGGATTTGAGTCCCTGGTGGCGTAGTGTGTTACTGATGGTAGCCTTTGTTACTTTGGTCCCAGCTCTCTGCAGGTCATTGACTAGGTCCCCCCATGTGGTTCTGGGATTTTGGTCACCGTTCTTGTGATCATTTTGACCCCACGGGGTGAGATCTTGCGTGGAGCCCCAGATCGAGGGAGATTATCAGTGGTCTTGTATGTCTTCCATTTTCTAATTATTGCTCCCACAGTTGATTTCTTCACACCAATCTGCTTACCTATTGCAGATTCAGTCTTCCCAGCCTGGTGCAGGTCTACAATTTTGTTTCTGGTGTCCTTTGACAGCTCTTTGGTCTTGGCCATAGTGGAGTTTGGAGTGTGACTGTTTGAGGTTGTGGACATGTCTTTTATACTGATAACGAGTTCAAACAGGTGCCATTAATACAGTTAACGAGTGGAGGACAGAGGAGGCTCTTAAAGAAGAAGTTACAGGTCTGTGAGAGCCAGAAATCTTGTTTGTTTGTAGGTGACCAAATACTTATTTTACCGAGGAATTTACCAATTAATTCATTAAAAAATCCTACAATGTGATTTCCTGGATTCTTTCCCCCCATTCTGTCTCTCATAGTTGAAGTGTACCTAGGATGAAAATGACAGGCCTCTCTCATCTTTTTAAGTGGGAGAACTTGCACCATTGGTGGCTGACTAAATACTTTTTTGCCCCTCTGTAAATGGTCTGCAAACGCAGCCCCAGAGAGAAGGGTGAAAAGAGGTGCTGCAGCACGCAGTATGAGAACAAATAAAGAGCTTTTTGAGCATTAAAGCATGGAAACATGTCGCAGTAGAGGCACACAATACAGATCTGAATCTAAAATTGAGCATAATATGTCCTCTTTAACATTCACTTGCTCACTATTTAGGAAAAATCCTAAAAAGTTGGTTTGCGTCCAGGTTGGATATACTGACATGAATAATAATTATTCTGCCATTTCCTCCGTGAGGGTGGTGTTGTCACAGTGTGCCAGCTGCAGAGATAAATTACAAATAGTTATTAAGAATGGAAAATTCCACTCCGCTGTATTTGCTCGATTATAGGTCAGGCCCCGAGTGTATAAGCTCCTTCACTATAGCGGTCTTAAAAATAGGACCTATCTGCTTTTTTATCGAGCAGCATCTAATCAATACAAAATACAAATCAATAGACATGTCTTCCTCTACTAAAGCTGCCATCTCCCTCTGGTTCAGTAATTTATTAAAAGGCGAATCACATTCATCATTCGCACAAGCAACATACATTTTTCCCTCTCCATTCACTTGGTTTAATAAGTGATCTGTGCCATGCTTTCAAAACGATGTATTCATTATCTCTTCCTCCCCCCCCTCTCTTTCAGTTCTGGGCTCTCGCCGCTCTACACCCCCATTTCGTTTTGTGGATCTCCACTGGGCACAAACCAGAAAAGGATTCAGGATCTGTCTCTCAACAGCATGATCGGTACGAACACTCATCACAACACCTTGTAGCAAGCACCAGACATGACAGGCTCTGCATATCCACCACGTTTCTGAGGCAAAATCTCACATACAGTGGGTAGAAAATGAATACACCCCCTGTAGAGTATCCTTGTTGTGTCTTTATTAGTGTTTTATTTATTTATTATAACATCTCAGCTTAGTTGTGAAGGTTTCTGAATTTTTAGCATGAAGTACTTTAATGGAGCGCTGCTGTGATTCCCCTATAAAGTGCACTACACAGGGCATATGCTTGTATTTTAGTAATGTTGCTGCCGCTATCATATTACGAGTTCTATGTTTTTACAGAGTTGATCTTGTCTGCTACCTTCTTCAGTATTCACCAGACCTAAAGCGAGTAGTAGTTATGGTTCTTACTGATGTCTAGTCAGTGCTATACATGTAGTTTGCACCAATTTCTGTGCTTTCTTTGCCTTTACACTGCTATGGTAAGAATCCGTTGGGGTCAAACTTTGTAATATGGTTAATTGGTGTTAATGTTTTTATCTTGTTACGGTTTTTATATTAATCTTTAGGGTTAACACCTTAATGCCGACGGCCCTAGTATGTTTATTAATACATGAACATGGGACTTGTTTGGTCTATATGGACTATATGTATTGAAATCAACAAAACTTACATTTCTTAATTTCTAAGCTTTACACCCTTGCTGAGTCAATATGTGTTAGAAGCAATTTGCCTGGAACTACAGCTAGCAGTCTTTTGGGTAACTCCGTACAGGGTTGGCACACCTTTCCATGGATTTGGTTTGATCTGATGGACCGCAACCTTAAATAAACTGCTTAATATATTGGTATTTAGGTCCGGCGATGATATGGCCACTCCAGAACATCGCCCTTGTTCTTTGCTAGATGGTAGCTTTAGGTCCAACCCATTTTCAGTCGTTTTTCAGACATAGGCTGCATCTCAGGTCGATTAAATGGAATCCTTGCGTCCCTCACTTGCGTCGTTTGCCTGCGTTTAGTCCCTCCCACCAGGGAAGCATGGAGAGACGCAAGGAAACCACGAGAAGCAGGGAAATGAGTTTTAAGAGCAATGGGACGTCCTTTCCTCCGGAGCGTCACGTGAAGCGACGTCCGTTTGTGATGACGCCGCACAGCTTTTCGTCTGGCAGCAGCCAGCTCTGTACCCGTTATTTTCACAAACACCCCCGCCTCTGTTAGTACACATTTACTGACATATACATTTGTATCATCTGTTGTAGACCCAAATAAATAAAATAAAATAAGAACTCATTCTCAAAAAAGATAAACGCCATTCTTAAAATGTATAAACGAAAAAACCGATCATGAAAATGTTTCCAATAAATGAATAAAATAATTTTGGATCACTTTGTTGTTCAGATATATCACATATTTGTAACTAAATGATACATTAATTGAAACAAAACACGGTATAAACTGAGGAGTGACTCTCGTGAGTTTCATGTGTTTTCTTCACTCCGCTGGGAAACTGCTCTCATGTCAAGAAGCATCAGATCAGTGCATGCACTGCATCGTCCAATCAGTGAGCGATACACAGTAAGGGGGCGGGGCGAGTATCTGAGGATTTCATCGTAGGATGGTCTGGTGGTTCCTCCATTATCGCTCCTCCATTATCGCTCCTCGATCCTCGGTCCTCCGGCAGAAATAAGAGCCATGGGACGGTACTCAAGATGGCGCAGGCAAATCAACTTCCGGTGATACAGAGGAGCGAGGAGCGAGGAAATGAAAATAGTCGACCTGAGATGCAGCCCTTGTCAGGTTATTGCAAATGGCTGCTCTGGCAAAAACTGTGGCCGGCTAGGATAATAATGACAATTTTAAATACATTTCTAATAGCTTAAAATAATTAAGTGATTGATTTGACATTTCGGACAGACAAAGACGACTTCCAATTGCTGGCAGTAATTAATTAGTTCTGGATGATTTTTATAGTTAGTTTTTTACTTTGAAATTCTTTCGTCAGCCTCCCTAGATGGATGACTTTCATTTTAGAAATCAAATGTGAAAAGCATAAAGCAAGACAAAGCTGTGTGGGGGTGTTGTTGTGCACAGTGCCCTGTCATATCTCTGATTGTTTCTCACTTAGTTTTGTGGGCCTCAGGGCACCGCTTTTCTTTCTGCTGTAATGTGCGCACTACAGAGGCCGGAGTTATTTCCCAGTATGCACCGCTCTGCACAAACTGTCCTGTGGGTGCATGGCTCTCTCTTTTTACCTCTATCTCTTAATCATCTCATCCTTTAGCTTACGATGGGTTTCTTTCTCTTTATCTCTTTAGTCTTCTCCTTTTGCCTTTCTTCTTTTCCTTCCTGTTTAGTAAGAGCATAAGGACCTGCCAAAAGATGAATGTGGGTATAAATTATAAATGAGATCCCAGAGTTATTCACTTTTGTGTATTTGTTTGTGGTTGTTTTTTCCCTTTGTGTTTTGGATTCAGTGACAGTCAAGGGAATCGTAGTTAGTTGTGAGGGGAATACACACACACACACACACACACACACACACACACACACACACACACACACACACACACACACACACACACACACACACACACACACACACACACACACACACACACGAGCCAGTTAGTGCCCATGGCTCTGTCTGACAGAGCCAAAGCTCTTGTTAGGAGGGAATGTCACTGTATTGCATGTTGTTTAAATGTTGTCACAGCGAGCTTGTTGTTTAGACCTGGTGCTGATTGTCTGACACAACAAGAGAATGAGGCGGGTAATGGCGACCTGATTATGCTAAGGGTTAGAGCTGCCACCTGTAAAACCATAAAGCATTCTATATTTTCAATTTCTGCACATGGCAATCTGTTGTATACATGATTGTTTTTTTTATTGCAGTATCAGTTTATGCAGACCTGCCCTCATCTCATTACCTCTGCCAAGAAGGTAATGTTTTTATTCTGTGTGTTTGTCTGTTTGCTGATAAAAGGAGGTAGCATGGTCCAAAAAAGACCCTATTGCACTCATACCTTATTTTCTTACTAATGGAAAGTGGTCTGCGCTTTCAGAGTGTCCATATAGTTTTATTATGTCTTTAAGCTGCATTGATCATTTAGAAAGACCAATGCAAAGAGGGTTGTTATGGAGCATGAAATGAAAGCTACAATTGATTTTCCATCGGTACCAATTATGAGTTCAAGGCGTTTTGGATTTTATAGCTCTGCAGAAGCAGATGATTTGTAAGAACTTACATAATAAGTAGAAGTTAAGAAGTGGAAGCGTATGGGTACTCTTGTGTGAAACATGGGTCTTGGCTTAATTGTCTCAGATCACCCCTACATCCTGATCCTTTATTAAAAATGCACCACTGCTCTTAATGAAAAAAATAAAATTAGCTTTTTTTATGTGAGCTTTTCCACTCCAGCCAAAAAACATCTTTGGAATAAAGCCAAGTTGAATGTTTTTTTTTGTAGGAGGGCTAATGAGCTTTGTTACAAAATGATGTCTAGGATTCTGAAAAAAGAGTGAAAGAGAGATAACCACACATTTATCTCACAAATGAAACTGCCATTCGATGTAAGATGACACCTGTAGAAAATTAGAACCCAGTGTTTGCGTCAGGTATATACATCCTCCTCTGGAGTTTAAGCAGGAGCTACTTTACTTTACAAGCTGTTGGATACTGTAGCTGAAGTTGTTGCTGACAGTTTATTGGCTTCAGTTGGTGGTAGTTTGTGTCATAAAGAGTACATATTATGCTCATTTTCAGTTTCATATTTGTATTTTGTGCCATTATGTTTACATGCTTTAATGTTCAAAAAGCTCTTTATTTTTCTCATACTACCTGTGCTGCAGCACCTCTTTTCGCCCTCTGTCTGAAACCAGAGCCCAGTCTGCTCTGATTGGTTAGCTGGCCGGATCTGGTTTGATTGGTCAACCACCTGTTCCGGCAATTAGTCTATGACATACAATGTTTTGGAGTGCTAGCCAATAGAAGCACGACTGTTATGTAGTGATGCCATTATGTTATGGAAGTAAACAAAGGAGTTCAATGGAGCATTTTAGGCAGGGGGGGAAACTCCCTCTGGAGAAAACTTGGGGCTTTAGACTTTGCAGACAAAAACATACAACACACTACAAGAAGGGGAGAACCCCCGAAAGCATAATAGGGCCCCTTTAAGTTTAACTACATCTTTGTGTTTAATTTATCCAGACATGTTTATTGTAACGCAGGTATGACAGTTTAAATGTGTCAGATTGTGCTTTGTAGTAATGGTGTAAAACCACGTGCTGCCTGCAGTTTTAATGAGATATCTCAATGGATGGTTGCTTCAGAGTAGAGATCCAAAAATCCTGTCCAAACCTTCCTCCCAAACATTTACAGGCTGAGACTATCCACAGATATGAAACAAAATACTGTAGAACACAAAGTTAAAGGGAATGATTCAAATGAAGTTGTTATGTAGCCGTCAGATGTATCATTGGATCAGCTCGACTAATTTTATATTGGTCACAGTTGTATCAACACATACACAATAATAACAGACTTGGATCGGGGGCAAACAGCCTTTTAGCACAGAAATTAAGCTTCAATCCCATAAATTGCTTCTCTGTAATTTTGTCATACCATTTCAGTTGTAATATTGATTTATTGCAGATTGCATGCCCAGGGAAAATTGAAATAAATGACATTTAATCACATACTCGTAGCAATACTCAAGATAAACAGATTTGATCAAGCCTGACAAAGATCTCTGTTTTGTCACATACTTGCTTTGTAGCAGTACTAAGCATGCTATATTCAATGTTTGATTAACAAATGTTGTGGTTTATCTCCAGGTCAGACCTTGATAGCTGGTGAAGCCCTTCCTCCATCATCCATCCAGCAGGAGGTCCAGTTGAAGTTCCTGCTGAGCGGCCTGCTATCCGGTCTGCCACTGCCACCATTTGCTCTCCGCATGTGTCCACCACTAACCACCAAAAACATCAATCACTACCAACCCCTGCTGGCTATAGGTAGGTAACAATGCACAATTGACACACATGCGCATAAGAAGTTATGTTCTGTGTAAAGGAGTTGGTTTTCATCCTACTGAGAGTGGAGTATTGTGAAATAAAACTAGAAGTAAGGAGCTCAGCATTACTATTTCACCGCAGGGTTTCTCAAAGCCTGTACCAGGTCTACTTTCACATTTCAAAAGTTTCTGGAGGTCAGTTTTTTTCCACTTGTGTGCAGTATGTTATTTTGTTACATCATGATTTGTAGTTGTTTCCAAGCAAAACCAGTTGCATCAGTGCCAATAAATGAACTGCTTTTTGTTCATAATGAATGAACCGTTCGTTCTGACGTCTGTTGACAACAAGTAGTTTAACTAAACATTACTAAATGTGTCATAAATGTGATGTGTTGCCTATTCAGATACAATTCTATTCCATCGAAAAAATACTGAACGTTCTATATTCAGATGATAGAGATAGAGGTATTTTGTTTGCTATTTACTCAAGGTTTGCCGCGTTAAAAAACGGTTAGTTAAGCTAGCATGCACAGCTGTCAGCTGATTGGTTGCACATCGGATTGATATAAAAGTTGAAATAATTTGAACTTTGAGCGCAGCACTCTATTTTGAGTGGTTCACGACACTGTGTGTGGTATCTTGCCTATTTGGGTTTCACTGCACTTCTGATTGGTCAGCTAGACAGCATGTGCGTACATAATGTCAACCTGCACACAAACAGAGGATACGTTGTCACAGTCACACATGCACACTTTTCATTTATTAGCAGATAGCAACTGATAGGAAACGGTGAAGCTTAGTTGGTCGCCTACCAACTGAGAAATCAAAAAGCTGTCCTTCATCAGCTGGTAGACTTTCTGAAGAAATATGCTCAGCAAATGTTCAGTTGCTAATAATCATTGCAAAACATTAAAGTATAATACTTCAACATAACCAGAATGTATTGCTGTATCAAAATACTTAAGTTAGTTAGAATAAGTCACCAATAACAACTGTTAACACTTTTTTTCCCCTTAATGGATGCATTTACCGGTCTGCATAGGGTACATTCCCGTAATTATCATATAAATCTACGTATTTGCAAATTATGTTTATATAGGGCTGAATGACTATGCAGCCGCAGCTACACAATTTAAATGCTTGCACGTCCAGGCTCTTTATCGATGTGCATCCGTAGTTTGGTTTTAAAACATAATAAGCTCTGGAAATGAATATCAGCAGAGCCACACCTTAAAACATCGGTGCATCACGAAACAGGAAATTAAGAGCTGCTGATATGAAGGCAAGCATCAAGTCAAGCTGACTTTTACTTCAAACTGAATTATCAAATATATCCATCTGAATGCAGTTGTTGGGGTCTATCAAAGTGATTACAAGCCCAGCAATTCCCCATAATACTTACATTTAAATTGGGATTACATTTTTGTCTATTAATACTCTCTTGTAGTCCAATTATAGTAATCTATTTCTGCTGCAGTAAAATACTTTTGGAGTGTTCTTAAACTCCCTGACACTTCCTGATGATGAACCCCTTTGACACTTTTTAAATGAGTCATTTTCTATCTGCCTCCATGCATGTTGATTGGTATTTCCATTACCTAAATGTTTATAATCTGACTCTTTGAGATAGTGAGTTAGTATATGCAAATGAAAATGATGCAAAAGGCATAGAGTTCATCCGAAATATCAGCCGTTGTTATATCTCCCCGAAAGCCGGCGGTTAGACGACACACAGTGAGCGTTTTGATGCATTTGTTTTAGATTGCATATCCATTGTATTCCTCTTCTCAACAGTAATGATGCATAACATTATACAATTCTAGATTGTGTAACGTGTCTCTGTGTATTGACAGTTTGTCCCTTCCTGTGTGTATATTTCTGTTTGCTCACACACTCCTGCCTCTGAAATACATTCCATGTTAGGCCCAGGCTTACCGCTGATATCTTCCCAATGCAGTAAACCTTCAGTTTAGATGTCAACCTCCTAAAAAATACCTACATTCATTCCCCTGACAAAGCCAACATGACTGAATCATACCTCAAAGAAACACTACCACCTACAGACCCAATGGCAAGCAGATGAGTAATAACACTCTCAACCTACACATCTTACTACCATTTCAAATCTGTGTTTACTGTTTATGTCACTGTGAACACATCTACAACAGTGGGACACAGATCTCTTAAACCAAGATTACACATTATTACGTGGTGACTATATACTTCATAAAGACCTAAAGAGGCCACTGCTGTTCTCCAACTGTTATTTTTAATCTTTTGTTTAAAGTGAATTGGGATTTTTTACTTAAAAACCACCATTCTTTCAAAAGCAGCCGTTTCAAAATCAATTTCAGTCATAGACCTATCATTTTCTGTATATTTTTAGAAATCCAATCAGTGAATTTTGGAGCGAGGGCAGTAGGAGCCCCTCACACACAGATGGTGAGGGGTCGACTTGGCACAGCTGGTTCCCATTGGCGTTCTCAATCTGAAACTAGAACAAGGTGATTTAGTTTTCTCTTCATCCTTTGTCAGATCCCCAAAGTCAGCTTGCAGAGCCAAGTAGAGAAACGGTCTCTAGCTTTATTTTTCAAATGTGTCTTTTGTTCCACAACCTATGAGCTTGTTTGTGAATAGTACGTTTTGGAGACTGGATAATTATGTCAGGGAATTAGATGGAAGGCACATCTCTGCTGAAAGGTGGAAAAGATGTCCTGGCGATTCAAACGCAACAGTATGTTTAGTTGAAATTGTATCACAGTTAGATATAACACATATACTATTGCTTCAATGTAGACGTTCAAATAACAGTAGAAAAAGCCTCATTTGGAGCCTTCAAATCTGGTATTTGCCTCACTGTCATGCTGTAGAAATTGGTTACATTCCTGGCTTACAGTTGCTGTAGTCTCTCCCTCAGTCATGATGCCAAGCTTGGTACTGTCACCAAAGATCTGGCAGGCTTTGGCATCTGTCACCTCTTTTGTTTACCAAGAGCCAGAGAATACACCTGATCATTAAATCCAGAGTGATCCATGAGGGAGTTCTTGGCAGATACTGCACTCTCTCTTCCTTGGCTTCCTTTTCCATTCTGCATTAGGGTTTGTCACTAATGTATAGTTGAGTTAAAAGGGGATTCTCAGTTCCTCCAACACCACATGCCGAAACAGCCAAGGGAAACTGATATATTACACCTTCCTCTAGGTGCAAATAAAGCATGAGCTTTATGCTGATGGGGTGAAAAACACTAGGAGTTGAAATTGCCAAACACATTTTCTTTACAGTTCAATAGAAATCAGGCTTCCCTTTCTCTGTTTTCTCAATTGCTGCGTCTCACTTCCCCCTTCTCAGTCTCCTTGCTTCCAAAATAAAGGTTACAAGCTGTGAAAGCCAGCCTCACTCCCCAGAAGCAATGTGGTCTGGTCTCCTGTCTAAAAAGCATTAATCTCTGTGAGACTTGACAGCTCCATTACTGATAGGTGCATTGCCCGGAGCCTTCCTTTTCAGTGACATGTACGCAAACACTGACTAACCGACAATACTCCCAATCATCTAAGTTAGGCATGCCTAATTTATTTATCCGTGCTTCCCCGACAGCTATTCTTTGCTGCATTATTTGGATCTGCTAAATGAAACCCCATTTAGATTAGAATAAAGAATCAACACATACATTTGTCAATTGCAATGCGAGAAATGAACTTCTTCTCCACTGATTTGAAGGCAGCGACTGAGGCATGCAACTCTAAAAGCAAAACAATTATAATATGGATTGATTCTCATTATCGACTCCAGTGGTCCGTCGATGGGAATTTGTATACATTTGTAGATCACCACAAGACCCTATACCAGGCCAAGAAAGATATATGATACCTTTTGATATAATTCTTCTAATCCAACTTTCGTCAATAATTTAAATGAAGGTGGGTGGGTAGGAAATGCAGTTTTAAAAAAAACCCTGATACATTATCAATCCATTGTTTTAAATTCAACACTTTAAAATGTTTTAACACTACCTTTTCTGAGCATCGGAATGACAGATCACTGTTTTGCATTATTTTTTGAAAATACAATGGAGGGACAAACTGCTAATGTATCTTTTTGATTGGTGTGTTCAATGTTTCATCTGAATCTCACCACACACTGCCATACGGAAGGGCGGCATCTTCTTGGTCATTTTGATGAAAGTAAACAAACATTGGCTCTGAGGCAACTCATGGTCGGGAGTATCTATGTTTATCTCCATCCACCCACTTCAGCTTGACAGAAGTGTCCAACAGTCCGACACTACATGCCATCGTTCAGCTTCTCAGGGAGTAGGCAGGGAAGACACACACATATACAGATTGCTTTTCAGCACTGCCTCTCTCCACCTCCAGATGTTGTGTCAGCATGTGGTTGTCTTGTTGAAACCAAGTGTAGTCCTTTTGCAGAGAGACTGGCCACATCAGCGGAGCTTCATCACACTCAGGATAACTATAAAAGCAAATGGGTTCCTGCACCTGTCTGTGTGTACCACAAACATACAAAATAACCCCCCCAAAACCTTTGTAAAACAATTTCCAAGCGTCATGAGAATGGGCTTTTAAATGTGCTTTCACATCTGCTGGAGGTTGTTGCTTTGTTTTGCTCCACAATTGAGTAATTATTTTAATTGTTGCGGCTTTCAGCTGCCTTGCTTGGGTTATAACCTCAATTGTTTTTGCCTGTTCACAACTGCTTGTTCTCTCCACTAATGTTAAATAAGCCCGGGGCATTTTATAAAACCCATGACAAAGCTGTTGTAATCATTTAAAGGAAATGACCATATTGTAAATAGGATGTCAGCATTTTATTGTCTAAAGCTGAAAGCGTAGATAAGTGCTTTTATAACTTGTTTTGTTAAAATATAAAAACATATATGAGAAAATCCCATGATACACACATACAATGATTATAAGCATATGCACTGTCGGAGCCAAACATTACTTGTTTTAATCCCCAGAAGATGACAAAAGTCTTCAAAACCATCACTGCCAGGATACGCTTCAGATTTTGAAACAACATCTTCCTTACATTTTCAAAACCTCTAGATTGACTTTAGGTTTAATTTAACCTTGGTAAACATCAAAATAACTTTAAAATACATTTGATTTTCTCTTTCAAAGTATGAACATCACTTTGTCAAACCTCTTTAGAGTTTTCGATCAGTGTCAAATGTCACATGTTATATTTAATCGGGTGGAGTTTAGGGAGGGATGAAGCTGTTTCCCTCGCAGCAGATGAAACGGTGAAATGTTCTAGGGCTGTGATCTGAGTGACACAGGGTTGGATGTGCTGCCTCAATCCACACCCACTGCAGCGACAGGGAACACACAGGGGTGTCACAGTGACACACCATCCTTCTGATCCTGGATGGTAAAGGGATGGGGAAGTTATGTAACGTATGCCTTGTGACTGTCATTATTCTTATGCACTGCTCTTCTCTGTTTCCTCTCTCCAGGCACCAGTAATGGGTCTGTGCTGGTCTACAACCTGACCAGTGGCCTCCTCCACAAAGAACTCAGTGTCCACTCTTGTGAAGTCAAGTAAGATTTGTGTTGCTGTGAAGTCACAACAAGGCAGGGGTTAGTGGTTCAGTCCCCTCTGGATTACATGAAATATCTGTAAAACGACAAGATGGATGAACCCCAGTGGCTAGTCAATCTGCTCGGGTGGATGGTTTTTGTGTTGATTGTTTTCTGGCTCATTAGTGCTTGTAGAGGCAATTGGCAATCACATAATTAGAGTGCCTTCTCAGCTCTTAGCTTGCTTTAGGTTTGTATGTGAACACCGGCTGAGTATGGTAATCTTGTCTCAAGGAAATAAATAGGACAACCACTAGAGCAAAATAAAATAACCCAGAAGATATCAAGGTTAAAGATATTGTGTAGCTGAACAGGTTTTCACTTGATATGCTTACTGTATAATGCACTTTACAAAGCAAATCAAGGTAAAACCTATCAAATCAAAGCAAAATCATGCCATGAAGCTGGTCATACCGTGTTTATATGCTAATTAAATCATGGGGACCATAAATACAAATGCCACCTGGTGACATACAATATGTTATATACCCAGATCTTATTATTTTCAAGTACAACAACTACACACTCTCAATGAGCGGAAAATAATGTGTGTGTGTGTGTGTGTGTGTGTGTGTGTGTGTGTGTGTGTGTGTGTGTGTGTGTGTGTGTGTGTGTGTGTGTGTGTGTGTGTGTGTGTGTGTGTGTGTGTGTGTGTGTGTGTGTGTGTGTGTGTGTGTGTGTGTGTGTGTGTGTGTGTGTGTGTGTGTGTGTGGTGTGTGTGTGTGTGTGTGTGTGTGTGTGTGTGTGTGTGTGTGTGTGTGTGTGTGTGTGTGTGTGTGTGTGTGTGTGTGTGTGTGTGTGTGTGTGTGTGTGTGTGTGTGTGTGTGTGTGTGTGTGTGTGTGTGTGTGTGTGTGTGTGTGTGTGAAAGCTTAGTTGCACTTGAAAAATGGGACCAGCTTTGCATACCGTGTACATCAATTCATCACAACAACACAATACTTGCCCAGTGTATGTGCTTCTGTGTTTGTGTTCAACTGGCGGTAGACAGAAGAAAATGGTGTGTTAAAGTGATGATTTCCACTGTTGCAATATCTACTCACAGCAGCTGATGTGTTGATGCAGTGAGTTAGTGTTGTATCTGTCTAACCTACAGTAATACCATCACAGGGAAGTCTCATTCAATTTGTGACACGTGTTACTGATTTTTACTAAAGTACAACGCTGTTACTCCTAGATCTTATATACCAATGCCAGTTAATACTATATATAGCTTTTTCACGTGTTCACTTGTCAAACGGGTAAACTAAATCACATTAATGCAGTGCTCTGTTTTTGATATGCTGTATTATATGCTCACTTGAACATAGCCATCATTAATAATATAAGTTACACCTGGGTTCTTCCAGCAACAACAAGTCCAAATGTGCTGGGAGAAAGCTCTTTAGATTTCTGGGTGACATGCATAAAGCAAATCAAATATAATTTTCCATGCTTTTGGAAATAAAATGACTTTAACCTCTGAACACTACATCATTCCCTACTATTCATTTTTAAGTATTTGTTTCCCTTGATGTCATTGATGCCAGCTGGCCAACAGTGATTGTGATTTGAGAATAATATGTTTCTTCTTAATTTTCCCCAAAAATAATGGTCGACGTGTTGCCAGCATAGAGGTAGAATGAGAGTAGAACAGACATTCCTATATAAATCAACATAGCAGAAGGGTTAAAGTCCTATTGTAAAGAAATATGACCATTGTTGCCGGCTAACTTCTGCATAAAGTTCTTCATAATCTGCTGAGCTGAGGTTTTGCTGTAACGACTACATTAGTGAACTATTAAAGCATGGAGATGACTCTTTTGTGCACCATCTCTGTTGCCTGAGAGGATAAATGTAGTGGTGCAGTAATGAGTCCTAAAACCTCCAAATAATTTGTACCACATCCGGTTGCCTTGTCTTGATGGGTCTTTTGAACATGGTTTTGGTTAGAAGCCCTGAGAGAAGCCCTCTCCAGTGTACTGAAATCCATTGGTTAATTCCCAAAGATTTTTTTTCCCTTGTGATGCAAAATGCAGGGTTGGCCTACCAAAATACATCATCCCTGCACTAATCCATTGATGATTGCTGTATTTTAATTGCTTCATATTTCTATTGGCAAAATCATTACATTATTTTTATTGAATGATATTTGAATACAGCCAAGACATAGCTCAAAAACCAGTGATTTTGACACACTATACTTTACTTCACTCACTCACCACTGTCACAATGTTCCTTTGAACTACTCAAAGGAGTGCAACATAGTTCAATGGCTATACTACTCTCATTCTATTTCTATGGTTACCACAGTGATTGCAGAGAAATCCAAGGATACATGGTTTGCAGTCTACTCTGAACGTATATTTGCCTAGAAAAATATAAATCGACCAGTAAACCTCATTTTGTTATGTTTTCTAAATTAATGGATCAATCTGTTTTTGTATTTGTATTGATTGAGCCTACTAAACACCACTTACAACAAAGCAACTCATTTAGCACACAAAGTGAATATCAAGTAAGTTTAGACTATATATTCTAATTAGGACATGAACTTGCTTGTGTAGCATGTATTGGTTAATAATGGGGTGCGATGCAAGCCACAATGAAGAGCGACCAACTCCGAATCCCACACCACCTTCTGAGTGACCCACAATGCAACAGCCAAACATCAACAAAGAGCAGGCTTTGCTTCATTAAATTGGTATTCTCTAATGAGCAGCACAACTATTTTAACAGGATTAATTTAGCACAAGATTGAATCAAGTAATGCTGTTAAAAGATTGATCGGGAGCTAACACTATCTGTTCAAGCAGAGCCAGCCTTTAATGAGAGAAGTTCCGCAAATGCGAAACTCCAACAAACTTTAATGAGCCGTGCAAGAAAAGCACACGTTTTTTTAAATGTCTGTCGCTACCCTCTGGCTGTTATGTGTGGATTAAACATGAGTGTGGAAATTAAAGCAAGAGAGGCAATGTTTTCTTTTCTTCAGTTGTCAATGAGAATTTGATCTACAGTCCTGACACTCAACAGATGTCACCTCATCTTTCACTCAAAGCCACCGTACCTCCTGCTCACATCCTACATGTGCTATTTAACACCACTCATATTAGTTTTGAAGGTCTATCATCAAAATGAATGCGCAAAGCGAGAAATTTAAAATAAATGCATTCCATTAGACCAGACATTACCATTACAGGAATGGCATCAGATCAGGGCTTTCTCTTACAAACCTAACTATTGGATTGTTCTCTTTTCCTGTTCAGGCTCTGGTTGAGTATTACTGTAATTTCCACATCCAAGATTAAGATCAAAGCAGTGTGTTTTTCTGTGGTGGAGAGCAGAGGTACTTTATGGAAATGAGCCTGGCAGCCCTTGCCCTGGCACAGCGATGCCAAACGAGCCCTTACTGCTTAGCATCTCATTTACATTTAGTGGGGAAATCGACTAATTAATCATTTGGCTATTTACCATCTCATTACCGTGGAGTTTGTGCTCCCTGAGCTATGCCCCGCTCTCAGAAATATTCATATCTCACACTTGCTGGCGTGACTTTCTGTGCTACACCTTCCCGATGGATTTTGTAGAAGTTTTAGGTGTCTCATTTACCTTTCTGCCTGCGAGGATGCAGCGGAGGAATATCTGACGGCTACACTTGCAAGTATTAGATAGAAATATTATTACTAAAACCTGTGTATGTGTGTGCTTACTCCACAGGGGAATTGAGTGGCTGAGTCTTACCAGCTTCTTATCTTTTGCTACTTCTGCACCAAACAACATGGGCATGGTGCGGAATGAACTGCAGCATGTTGACCTGCTTACTGGTAAGAGACACACACATTCTCACCTGTATCTGTTGGTAAGGAGTACCAACCAACACTTTTTATATCTTCCTTTGATAATGATCAGTCAATTAAATTGTATGTAAATACCCCAATATTACAAATGACACATTTCTCTCAGGGGGCTTTACAGTGTGTACAACATACCACACCCTCTTCCCTCAGTCAACAAGGAAAAACTTCTCAATATAAACACAATTCATAAATAAAATGGAAAAAATACTTGGGGAAAGCCACAAAAAAATGGGATCTCTCTCCCAAAATAGGCAGATGTGCAATAAAAAATGTGTATAGATTAAACAAATTACAAAAACACTATCAAAATCTTCCAAGTGCCTTCAAACAAATAATAGTAAGGTGAGCATCAGGCAGGACCAAGTAACCTTTGATACTGGCAGGGGAGAGACACAAAAACTCTGTTGGATTCTTCTGTTTTGCTCAGGCTCCCTGCAGCCTCAACGACAAAGAGCATATAGACACTTCAGTCTTTCACTCTATATGTGGTTTTTCTAAGAGACCCTTCTTGTTTTTCTCCAGAGGACACTTACCTCCAAATTAGGTCCAAACTAAACAGTGTTAGGAAACCACCAAGGTGCCAAGCTGAAAATGAGATCCTATCATGAGTGCCTGCAGAGCAAATTATATCCCCAGTGACGGCTCTATAGAATTACGGCACTAGAAATGTTTTTCAACTTCCTCCAAGGGGTGGAAAGAGAGAGAAAGTAATGGATGGTCGGAAAGAGATGGTTTTAGTGGTGAAATGTTTGCACAATATAATGTGAGAATCAATAAATATGGTTCTAATCTTGGATAGGAATAATTGAGGAGCACTTCACGTGTCTGCTTCATATATATATTTCAGGTCATTAGGATGTATGAGTGTACATATACACAGTCAGTGTATGATTTAAGTAGATGGCAGTTGATGCACCCCCAATTTGGAGAAACAGACTGGAATATTGGCACGGATCATGAGCAATCTAGTTCTGTGGACAGGTTGCAGTAAACAATCAATATCCGTTCAAGTGTACAGTATCATTAGAATTGTTTCACCACTGTACTTTCCCCTTTCTCTCTGGGAACTGCATTTCTTATTCAAAGCCACCAGCCTCCATTGAAACATTTTTATTTGACCTCACATTGTGCAATATTGCATCACAATTCTCAGGAATGATGTATGAGACAAGGGTGTGTGTGTGTGTGTGTGTGTGTGTGTGTGTGTGTGTGTGTGTGTGTGTGTGTGTGTGTGTGTGTGTGTGTGTGTGTGTGTGTGTGTGTGTGTGTGTGTGTGTGTGTGTGTGTGTGTGTGTGTGTGTGGTGTGTGTGTGTGTGTGTGTGTGTGTGTGTGTGTGTGTGTGTGTGTGTGTGTGTGTGTGTGTGTGTGTGTGTGTGTGTGTATAAAGAAAAAGAGGGTGGGAAGATGAACTTTTGCACCAAGTGTTTCTTTAAATTATTAATAACTTCCTTGGAGCACTGCTTTGTCAGTTTGTGACCCTCCCACTCCAACCCTGTGGGCTATGGGTTCACCCACGTCTCACTAAAACAGTTAAAATATTTTAAATATAGCGTATACACTTTAACTGATATTGCTTTTGTGCCCATTGCCACCTATTGTAGATAATACACCGACAATGGATAAGCACCTCATTTAACTCAACCTTAAACAATCTTTTAATGGCTACAGATTTGTTAATCGTCCCTAAAAATATGGTCTCTATAATGTTTGGGTAACATAGCCTTCATCCCCAGTTCATTCAGAACAATGATGAGGGTAAATCACCTCTTAATGACCTTCTCTAAAGCACCCGAGTCATCAAAGTTAACAGTCTCCTGCATTCGCTTTGGTTACAGGCTTGCACACGTTCCACACATTAACATTATTTATGTCTTTTTTTTCTTGGAAGTTAGAATTATTTAAGGAGCCTGAAGTCCTCTAAGGAGTCTTAACTGAAAATGTGTCTGCTGGTGGTGCTCTTAGGCTCTGTGTTTGCTTCTTCGTTTTTGTAAATATGCTTTTTATTGCGGTCATATTTACAGAGAAATGAAAAAGATCTGTGTGTTTAATACAGAGATACCATTAGTTTGGGACTTGTTTAGCCAGGGAAGCATATATGCCTTCAGGAGCTCATTAGCAGTGGTTTAATGTAACAAAGTATATGTATTCAACCTAATTACAATTTTGAAATACTTGTACTTTACTTGAGTAGTTTAAATTCATGCTACATATACTTTTACTCCACTACATTTTGCATTTTTTCTTCATTAGTTATTTAACACTAATAGTTAGCTAGCTACTTTTACATATAAAAACACTTTATATTATGTAGTACTATAATTTTATATATGCACGTTATTCAAGAGCATGTATTTGTTATTGATAGAAACTGAATAATAAAAAAATGTAACACTGTAAAATGTGCTAGAGAATTTGCAGACTGACTACTTTTACTTTGGAAACATGTAGTACATTTTACTGATAAAACTTCTCTTCTTCTATTTAGGTCACTTTTTATAATTAGGACTTTAACTTGTAATTGAGTAGTAAAAGACTATAGTAATTCTTCTTTTACTTAAGTAAAATATCTAATTTCTTCTTCCACCACTACTGCTCATAAGATGTCCGACAGTATTTACATGTTGCAAAATCTTCTCTACTTAGAAGTAAAAACCAAAATATTATGATTTTTCTTCTTTTTTTTGTACCGAGGAAATCATTTATGAGATATATTTCATTAAATGTTCTAATGTAAGATGTATACATTGGCAATTCAACTATCCAACATTTAAATTGCTGCTACACCTAGACTACATTCAGTTGCCTGCAGGCAGATTTGCAGGATATAGTTTCTGTTTGTTGAGTGTAGGTTCATACCTCTCATTTATTCAGGAAAGGTGAGTATATTTTTGCAGGATCACGTTCTCAACTAGAACTGCGAGGTAGCAAGTTGAGTACTTAAATCCTCTGTGCTTCAGCTGATAGTATAATCCACCAATGCAGACAACTGGTGCCCTTTACAGCATTTTCTGATAAGATTTCAGACTCCAGGATAGAAACTCATCTTCCTCACTCGTCTTACTAAATTGTGCTGATACCTGGTCTCTGCAGAAATGATAGCAGCTAGTCTTTTTTTGTTTTATAAGAAAAAAGATGTACCGTGTCCGTATGCTGTAATAACTCGGGGAAGGCTGGTATTGAGAAGTTGTAGTGAACTCTGTTTTCATTGCCTCACAAACAGTAAATATGTATGATGTGTGACAGTGATAATTACACATTATATTTAGTGGATGATCATCAGCTCAGCTCTTTAAAACCTATTTCCAGTAATCATCAGCAGTAAATAAAGGAATCAATCAAACTTTATATAGATAGGACCTTTCGAACAAATCAAACGCACCCTCAAAGTGCTTCACAAGCAGTTGACAAAAATGTGGTTGTTAAAAGTAATAAAATGCACAGATATTAAGAGAGAACTCATAATGATAAACAGTAAAGTGTTAATCTAGCAAAATACAATAATCTAAATGTCATCAATGAAAAGAAAAGTATTAATATAGAAACCATAGTAGTGAAAATCATGCCTCTTCCCATTGCATACAGCCGATTGAAAAAATGTGACGTAACATGTTTGTTTTTTGTAAACGCACATTTGACCAGTTTTTAAAAAGTGTAGGCTAAAGAATGTCAACCCTTTGGTTTCAAAAGAAAAGCATTAGCCTCGAATGCAGCACAAGTCTCCCAATTTCCCTCTACACCATATGCCTAGCGATTTACTTACCTTCTGGAACACACCGACTGCAGTCCTGAGGAAACTGTTAGAGGTCACCCCCCCACCCTCTTCCCCACAGACAGCTCTGCACATTTTAAACAGGCCTGAGTGTCCTCAGCAAAAATCAGGTCAGCACTTCCTTTGGCAAATATGATCATCTGAAGGTTATTCTTGTTTTGTTTAAAGGGGCACCTTGATGCCCTGCATAATGTCAGCTCGGTGGATGGCGACTTTGCGTAAATGTAAAGCAGGGATTAAAGCAGCTGGTGAGAATAAGTCGTCGGCAGTTTGCTCTTTCCGCTCCGGCGAAAAAGATGAAACCAGGATGCCCTGCCACTAAATGTAAAGTCAGTCTCTTCACAGGTGTGAGGAAAGATACCGTGTCCTGCTTTCTTTCATAACTCCCCCTCTCCCTCTCTCTGTCTGTTGTGATTTCCAGGCAGATGCTTTGCATTCAGAGGCGAGCGAGGAAACGACGAGCCACCCATTGAGATGATGAAAGTGTCTCATCTCAAGTAAGTCGGCTCTCCCCTCCACATGTAAAACCAAACACAAGCATCACTGTTCCTAATGTTTTTACCTGAGACACAAACACTAACTGTACATTTACATATATTCAATTTACACCCACATACTCCTTCACCTTACTTGCAATAACCTTGGAACAATGTTATCCCTTTCCTTCTTTATCTCTTAATATATCATATTTTAAAGGTGTGATGCTCTTGCTTGCTTTTTTTCTGAGGTGTCGAAATAACCTGAATTCTTTCTCTGAATATCACATATCTACCACTATTTGACAATGCCAAGCAACCTTGCTTAGCCCTGTGTATCAATTGCAAAGTAGGTGTATAATGTGTTATACTGAAAACGTTCATCTTTGAATATTCTTCCTTAGGTAACTATTGCATTTTTGCTCTTTTGCTAAGAAGAGCAAAACTCCCTACATTTCTTTGCTATGGAGGCGATGAATGCAATGCTCTAGGTGGCCAACCAGTCAGAGGTTAAGAGCCACAAATGTTACTATGTTACTGCAAAGAGCCACATCAAGCACAGTCACAGATGCGCCTGCACCCCCCCCCCCGCCCCTCCTTCTCTCTTTTGTTCTCAGCCTTTCTCTGTGCTCCTTTACTTTCTTCCTCCCCTCTCTCTCACACAGATAAAATCAAAATCAAAAACTTTACATGCACACACACACACACACACACACACACACACACACACACACACACACACACACACACAAAGACCCTCCCCACAGAGAGACACACCAGGGTTCATACACTTTTTCACCGATGATTTTCAATGACTTCTCCATGACCTTTACCTAATTTTCCATGACCAAAACAATTACTCTTTCTCAGCGGTACCACTGAAAATGGGTTACTTTAACATGGAACAGGAAAATAAGCAAAATACCGCGACAGTTAAATGCCATTTTACATTTCATTACTATACGATACAGTATGTATTATCATTATAGTATTACTATTTCGGCGATTAGATCAAATATAAATTATATTTGATGAAAAATATTTCCATGAAAAATATTGTTTTCCATAACTTTTCCAGGGCCTGGAATTAGCATTTTGAATTCCATGACTTTTCCAGGTTTTTAATGACTGTAAGAACCCTGACACACAGCTCTGCTCTGACAGATTTATTGTAAATGTCACACACCATAATATTGACAGAAATTGAATCAAACCTCTCCTACCAGTATTCAGAGGCCAGTTAACATAACAACATAACAATGAACATTGTGTGCACTCACACACAAACTCTCAGTAAACAAAATTTAAAAGATTTTTTATCTTACTATTTTATCTTATATTTTTGAAAAACTGTGTCTGCTTTTCTGCCTGACTTTTCAAGGTGTTTATCTTCTGCTTGCGAAATTCCGTACCTTTTGGGAAGTCCTGGTTGATGTTAGCATGGAGTGAGGTGAAATGGCGCTGAAGATTTGAAGCCTTGAAATGGGTTAATGCTTTGATTGATTGATTGAAAAGTTTATTAACAGCTTGTATATTGGGTACAGTACAGTACAGCTCAAAACATACAATTGTTAAGGGGATGCAGACCAGAGAAAGACTTTCGTCTTGTTTACATCAGGGTCCCCCATTTGCTGTCTGGCATACACGGCAAAATGGCTTGCAATTGCGTTCGATAAAAAACATGAACTCTCCCACTCTACTAAAAACGTCCTATGTTCGTCTTCATATTTTCACTTAGCTGTGCATTTCTTCCCTGCCATTTTAGGATCAAACTCAGTTCATGGTCAGATAGTGTTTAAACAACGATAGGTTTTCCCCCCCTCAAAGGTGATTGGTTCACTGCATCGCAGGTATTATTGTGATTGGCTCTTGGGCCACATAAAAATTAGACGCGCTGTCATCCTCTCATACTGACACCTGACACCACACATACACACGTAGGGAGAGCCGGGACGAAAGTAACACGGGACGAAAGTAACACGGGACGAAAGTAACACGGGACGAAAGTAACGGAGCGATTTTATCCGAGCCCAAACAACTTTGACCGGCCAAATTACGTCAGAATTATCAGCACTCAATACTTAACAGACCTACTAAATATCAGGTTTAACTGTCAGGAGTCCGTGTCTCTCCCCCACACTCACACATATATAATTCGATATGAACTGAAGAGCCGCATGAAACTGGGCAAAGAGCCACATGTGGCTCAAGAGCCGCGGGTTGGCCATGAACATACTATAGTATATTGTAGAGATGTCCCGATCCCGATCCCCGGATCGGATCGGCCCCCGATACTGGGTTTTAAGGTGGATCGGGATCGGCAGATCCAATTAAATGTCATGGCCGATCCATAGTTAATATTTCCCATGATTCCATTGTTACGTTGTTACGTTGTTACATTGTTTGTCGTTGTTGTTCTATTGCATCAGCCACCATTATCGAGTTGGAAAAGTGGAACGGACACATATCGTTAGCTAGTTAAAATGTCTGCAGTTTGGCATCATTTTAAAATAACTACAAGTGAGTCGCCGACTGCGACATGCAAAGTCTGTGGTGTGGAAGTCTTACGAGGTGGTGCTTGTAGAGGAAACTTCTGTGTAGCTATGCAGTGGGAGTCACCGACTCAGGAAGGAGACACGGGAAGAGCAGTAGCTTTGATGTCAAACACATGATGGTTTATTTGGAGTTAACGGCCGGAGGATTCACATCACAAGTCCAAGAGTCAGAGGTTCTGACTTCACGGTAGAGTTGCCACGTCAATTCTGAAGAACTCTACCCCAGACCCCTGTATTTAGCTAGTTCAGAGAGCATCATCAACATGCTGCATAACAAGATAGAATGATAACACCTCTATCAGCTGACGCCAACAGGCAGGAACAGGGAGACAAAACACTGAGAGCACAGCAGCCAAGGTTACAGGTGCCTGTGCTCAGTCAGGACAGTTTGAACTGATACACTGGGTCAAAGTTATGGGCCTTGGAAAATATTCCACAACAGTTCTAACAGGGTCTCCTACAACACCACAAACCTAATAAAACATCTTAAAAAGCACCACCCCGACGAACACGCCGCATACTGTAAAGCGACAGCGTCTGCGACTGATGGACTCCATCAACAAACACTGCGGGACAGCTTGAAACGAAAGGCTTTACTTCCTCGAGACTCCGAGAGATTTCGCAAGATTACTGAGCTGATTGTGGAGTGCATAGCAGGGGACGACCAGCCAATTTCACTTATGGAAAACTCCGGTTTTTGTCGTCTAATAAATTATTTGGGTGCCTGTCTATTTCTTAATGTATACGAAATTAAATGCTGTTTGCCAACACAAAAAGTGATATCGGAAGTCGGTATCGGAAAACCGGTATCGGGAAATATCGGGATCGGATCGGAACCTATATGAAAATATCGGGATCGGAAGCTAAAAAATGAGATCGGGACATCCCTAGTATATTGTATCACTTACAATCTGCTTCACAAATGCAAGTAATACACTTCCCATACGGATAAAAAGTTAAATATTAGAGCTTTTGAAACGCATTGCTTCTCATTTCAACACATTCAGGGCTGTTGCTGCAACTGCCTCACTTGGTCTTGTATGATCCAAGCTGTAATATAATGGTAATGCTAATACACTGTAGGTAAATATTGCTGTGTAACGGACATGAGTGTGTCAGTTAAAAAGGTCTTTATTTTTCTCAGCACCTCTTTTCACCCTCTGTCTGAAACCAGAGCCCAGTCTGCTCTGATTGGTTAGCTGGCCGCCTCTGTTTTGATCAATCAACCGCTCACAAATGTGTCACAAATGTCCCCCCATTAGCCTACCACGAACAATGTGTTGGAGCGCCAGCCAATAGTAGCGTGAGTGTTGGGTAGTGATGGCACTATGTCACGGAAATAAACAAAGGAGTCCCATCAAAGCATTTTAGGCAAGGGTGTGAGAGAGAAACTGGAATTGGGAATGATGGGGCTTAACCTCTGCAGAATATTTACATGCACAAAAACCTATAAAACACTACATTAAAGAAAAATAATAGGGCTCCTTTAAGCTACTCTTACAACAGCTTAGCATTTTAGCTAAATGCTAAATAGAAGTTTAAGTAGTTTTACCAATTCAAGTAATTTTTATTTCATTGTGCATTGGGTGCCAGGGTGCATAAAGAATAACATCAACAACAATAGACTTTAATAATTTGTTTATCCAAAGAAGAAAGGAGAGGACCTTGGCCTTATTGTCCTCAACTCCTAGAAACACTCTTGTGTTATAGGAATTAGGGGTGTTAATATGAGTAATGTGCCTTTATAATATAATTATATCGCCTGCTGTCATTCAGCAAAAGTTGCCCCTGAACAAAGTTCAAAAAGATGTAATTACAGGGCAGTGCATCATATCTGTCTTTTTATCAGTTCTATCTTTTTATTTTCAACCAGGCCTCTACAGATCACAATCTTATAATAGCATGGGCCAGGGGATGGAGTTACAGAGAGAGGTTCACCTGCTTTCATACACCGTAGCTGCAGTGTTTCACACTGTTGAATTCTGAATTTCTTCTCTGAAATGTTTCAAGAAGGAGAGCTTGTTTCTTGGCCTGATCTAGGTAAGCGGTTTAAAAGTTGGACACATAGCAAGAATTGTTTTGAAAACTCATCATTGTTGCATTTACGCTTTTGAGAAATAGTTGAAAATAATCTAAAACGTATTGTACCCTATGGATAGTTCTGAAACTATTCTATCAATGTATTTGCTGGCAATATGACACATCATTAACTTATGTGCGACAGTCAACAGCCAACATTAAAGAGGCCCTATTATGCTCTGGGCTTTTCCCTTTCATGCAGTGTGTTATATAGGTTTTTGTACATGCAAATGGTCTACAAAGGCTCAGATTTTCCCTAACATAGTGACATCACTATGTAACACTCACGCTTCTATTGGCTAGTTCTCAAATACATATATTCTAAGGGATGGGACATCTCAAAGCGGTTGACCAATCACAAACGAGTCGGCCAGCTAACCAATCAGAGCAGACTGGGCTCTGGTTTCAGATAGAGGGTGAAAAGAGGTGCTGAATCACAGACAGTGTAAAATAAAGACCTTTTTGAACATTAAAGCATGTCACAGTAGAGGCACCAAAAAAAATGAACCTAAACATTTGCATCATATGTCCTCTTTAAGATATCCAAGTCACCTGACTGATTTTAAGAGCCCTTTTCAATATAGAAATAACCCTATAAAAGCCTTTATAGACCCTATAGTGGTGTCTTTGGCAGTGTATGTTTTGAGATTGAATGTGTGTGTTTGTGATGTTTTTCCTCAGGCAGTACCTGGTGGTTGTGTTCAGAGACAAACCTCTGGAGCTGTGGGACACCAGGACGGGGACGCTTCTCCGGGAGATGGCTAAGAACTTCCCCACCGTTACTGCACTGGTAGAAACCTACATAATAATGAAACTATTTGATCCATTCTAAGGTGCTAGTAAAAAAGAAGAGAAGAATGCAACAATAACACTGAAATATAAACAACAGAAAACATGTTTAGGTATGCTTCTTTAAATACACTGCTGCATAACTCCAGTTAGGATATTTACTGTAACAAAACAAACTCAAGGTGTTGTCTTAACACCCATTGTTGACTCTTTCCTTTGTGATAATACCCTCTTGCTGTGGAGTGGGCCATTTGAAAGATTAGTCTGACATTTTTTCCCAAGCTCAGCAAAGAGCAGCGGCTTCATTAGGCCAGAGAAATGCTCATAAAAGAAGAGTTATGCTGGACAAACTTTACAGTGGGGCAGTCAAATCCTCCACAGCGCGAATAAAAAAACGTAATAATACATGCTGGCCTCCCTCAGCCTCGTAATGCTGTCTCATTTCCATATTGATTACAACCTTGAGTCAAGCAGACTGCATTCACAGTGCTCCAGCAGTTAGACAGGAAGGCTGCTCTCCTGTGGGCCTGAGCTTCATTTATGTGAGCAGCTCCTCAGAATGCAAATCACCCCTCCTTACCTCCTGTCTCTGTCTGTCTGCTTTTCGTCTGTTGTTAGTCTGTTGTTAGTCCAGAAAATGAGTGTGGGTCTGGGTGTGATTCTGTAACTGCTATACCCTGTGTGTCTAATCAGGAGTGGTCCCCGTCCCACAACCTGAAGAGCCTGAAGAAGAAGCAGATGGCAGCGAGGGAGGCCATGGCTCGGCAGACCGTGTCAGACGCTGAGCAGAGTATCGTGGAATCCTCAGTCATAAGGTCGGCGTTATGGATCTCACAATTTAGTTTTATGAAGTCTTTTGCCAGGATAGAAAACCCTCAGGCAGAGTCAGAGCTTCAACGGTGTGTGAGGAATTGAAATAGGATCTAAAGAGACTTTGTGGCGGACTGCAATTCATTCAACTAATACCAGATTGTATATTAAACAGTTAATCCTTCTTATTTCAAAACGACTTTCTTATCTTTTATCATCTTCAGAAAATGGAGTCTAAAATCTAGTACTTTTTTCCAGACATAAAAAAATGTGTCTTCGCTCAGAGCCATCCCCAACTCATGTGAGATTAACTTAAGCAACCATACAGTAGGCCACCAGTCATGCTCCAAACAAATAATTGATTTGAAACTGTATGCTATTTAACAGTAATCATTATACAAAAGTACATAGTATTGAGACCATGCTTTTAGACTGTGTAACTGTCAATGTCCTGGTCAGTTTGGTCAAATAAGTCCATTTATTCGTTACTTCTAGCTAACTATGTCAACTATTAGCCATTATATTTTGCAATTTTCGCATCATCTTTTATTGAAATGACTTGTATCTTTTCTACAATCCTTTCATTCCCCCCCGAGAATCCGTGGTTGGAAATCACTGGCCTAGAACTGGTTTACACTCTTTCAAATGTGAAATATTTGAAAGAGTGTAAAACATTACCACTGTCATGTTTCTCCTCCACAGTCTCCTGCAGGACGCAGAGAGCAAGTCAGAGTCCAGTCAGGCCATCTCAGCCAGGGAGCACTTTGTGTTCACGGACACTGACGGGCAGGTGTACCACATCACCGTCGAGGGCAACACAGTCAAGGATGGTGCAAGGATTCCCCCTGATGTGAGTGCGCAGACTGTGTCAACTGTTATGTTTCCTTAAGCTTCATATCCTCCTGGACTTTGTCAAGGTCATCCACATCCTCGCACAAGGCTATTCCCAGTGGTTCTGCTAATCCTTACTGTACACAAAGATGTAAAACCGTCCTCTTCTCTGCACAAGTTCCTCCCCCATGGAGTAAAAGCAATCATTCCCGCTCCATATTCTGTGTCCTTCAGGTTAATTTTTTGTATCTTGTGTGGGGGGTTGATATACATGTTGGCTGAATAATAAGAAGTGTGCACCCTCATGTGCAACAGCTTCTACAGCTTTACATTTTTACTAGATTAACTGAATGCGAGTGATTTGGTGTGTGTCATCACGTTGTCCCAGATATTGTTTTGCACATGCTCTCTCCGCGGGTTCAGAGCGTGACTCAGGCTCAGGGGAAAAGAAAGAACATGTTACTGTATTTATTTACCTGAATGGCATCTAAAGCTATTAATTTGCTGTGACAGCTAAACAGCCCAGCTGGTAAACAGACACAAGCTGTTACTGAAGACAGGATTTATTTTGATTACTTTGCAAGTAGTCGTGTCTCCAAACAAGTTGCTTTTTATAATTGATTAAAGAAAGGTGTTGAGTTGCCCAAGCTTCCCCCCTCCCCCCCCAAGATTTTTAAAGCCGTATTTTTCATGATGGCTGCAGATTCATCGCTCACAGATTTGCATAGCCCGGAGGTTTATAGTCCTTTCAGAATTATAGAATATCTTCATATCTCTGTCAGGAAACTGACAGATTCTCCCCTAAAACGTTTGGTCCTATTATCCACTGGGTACACACTGAAGCAGAGCTGACACTAAATGTCTTCACATCAGCACTCTGTCTTGCTGCGCAGCCCTACTTAAACTCAGATGTCGTGCTGGTTTAGCACTTGGCTAGAGAGTATCGTGTTGTTATAGCTAAAGGAAAAGGCCTTTTATGATAAAAAATAAAAAGTTAAACAATTTACAAAATACACATCCTGTAACAGTTCTTAGGATTTAGCCGCCAGGTATATATTGCACAGTTATTAACGGCATATATATTATATAATAGAAGATTACCATACAGGAAAGATGCTCACCATCAAGCCATGCTGTCAAAACTCTTAGCTATGAATAGATTTGTATTATTATTATGTCTTTATTGAAAAAAGACCATGCATACAATACATTCACCTCAGGGAGAGACAATATACTATATGCCAGATTATAGCTCAAATGAATTTGCATCTGCAGTCCCTGGGCTGGTACACAGATAACGATCAACAAACACTAAACACATTTCTTAGTTTATGAGAACACAATGAGATTTATAAAGTTTAGGAGATGGTATTTGGACAATATATTGGAATGATGGTGTTTTTAATTATTTCTTTATTTTAAGTTGACATAATTAGCAGTCTTTAAATACATGACCATTTAGCAGGGGTAAAAACCCTTCCTACTTTGTCCTCTCTAACTGTATATGTGCATCCCTTCTGTGTTGCAGGGCAGTATGGGTAGTATCGCCTGCATTGCTTGGAAAGGCGACACCCTGGTGCTCGGGGACGTGGACGGCAATCTCAACTTCTGGGACCTCAAAGCCCGTTTGTCCAGGTATCAACTTTAGGTTTTAAGACACCTATAACATTGTACCTAAAGTATATTGCATTACTACCTTCAATTTTTCCAAAGCATTTATTTGCACTCGGTTATTTTGTTTTACGGAGGTGTTTTATGTTGTTATATTCATTTCGGCAACGGTAGGCTGCTTTTCTTTTACGTGCTTTCACAGACAAACACAAAGTTAGAGTTTATTTCCAACCTGTTCCTCAGATAACAAAGGAACATTTCCATTTTATGGACCAAAAAACATATTTAAAAGTTCAACCTGGCAACACTTTTTTTCCACCTGTTCTTAAGTCCTGTTTATGACTTAAAAACAGGTGGGGAAAAAGGTCAGATCAACAGTTTGTATCAGGTTTAGAGAGCAGATCATCTAAATGAATGTTTCTTGCTTGCCTCTCTTGGCTTTTTTCAGTTTTGATATATTCATTCGATTTTCAAGACCAAAGTAAACTTGCCCATAATATTCATGGATCGACTGTCTATACTTATTATTTTTTTCTAACTCAAGAGTGAGTAAATACATTTGGTGAGGCAATACAAAAATAAAATGAATGCCCGAGGTGTTGATGCTTTCAGGGGAATACCAACGCATCGTGGCTGGGTGAAGAAGATCCGCTTTGCCCCGGGGAAGGGCAACCAGAAGCTGCTGGTGATGTACACAGATGGAGCAGAGGTCTGGGACACCAAAGAGGTGAGGCTACATAACTAAAAACTCCCAGCATGCATCACCTCACTGCACTGCATAATACAAGTAAAACATCTGCAAGGGGCTGCAAGTTAATAAGAGAATATCAAACATTTAAACAGATTAACCATGGCAGAAAAATTTGTTTGCATAGCAGTGTAATCACTGAAGCACTATGCACTGTGTTACGCTGTGGTAATAACTGTAATTGTACTCTTATATTAAAGAATCTTTGCAATGCGCTGCACAGTATGTGTGCAGCGCATTGCAAAGATTCTTTAATATAAGAGTACAATTACAGTTACAAGCGCTTAAAGCCTTTTCAGTGGCGTAAATAAGCTCAACCATAACAGGATGGATGATCCTGTTTCCTGTGTGCGACACGCTTCCTCGCCTACTCTTTAACTTTGTTTCCCCAAAGTTGTCCCAAACTAGAAAGGGTTAGGGTTAGGGTTAGGGTAACCCTAACCCTCCTCTCTTTGCACTGTCTTCATTTCACCTCATCTAAGAATCCCTAAGGCTAGTGTGCGTTCCAGTTCATCATATGATCTAATGTCACAGACTGGATTTTTTCTTTTTTATACCATATCCACACCAAGATATTTGTGATCTTAGCCAGCAGCATTGTGTATACAAATGGAAAAGCATATGGATTTGGACAACCAAGAGATGCTCCAGTTAACTAGTGTGAGTTGGAGGGAGAGGGTCTCACTGGAGCACTATTGTCTTTCGGTAAGGGAGCTGAGATAAGACAAAAATGTTTGACCCCGATCGTAAAAGCCAGACAACAGATGGATCCAGCGGAAGAGGGAAGCGAGCAATACGGCTGGAAAGAGATGGAGAGGGAGGAAGGGAGGAGCAGGGGAGAATGAGGGAGGAAGGGAGGAGCAGGGGAGAATGAGGGAGGAAGGGAGGAGCAGGGGAGAATGAGGGTGGACGGGAGGAGCAGGGGAGAATGAGGGTGGAGAGGGAGGAGCAGGAGAAATCTTGGAAATGCTCCAGTGCTCTTCTGACAGCCGGGCTGCAATGACTCGCATAAAAAGCCAGTGAAAGAGGTTTGTTCTGAATAAAGGCTGTTTGTCCACTGAGCCTACCCAACATAAATTACTTTAATGTTACACACATCCTCTGCTTATGTTGAATCAAAAAATCCTTCCATATAGTTCCTTCCTTTCTCCTCTGAAATTCTGCTGAGAAATATTTAATATCCCACCATCTTCCTAGAGCTATTGCCCATGCTTTCAAATGAGCTTTAAAGTGACAGCTCGAGCATCTTGACCCTCCTCCTCTTCTCGCAGGTCCAAATGGTGAGCAGCATGCGGATTGGGCGCAACGTGAACTACCGCGTCCTGGACATTGATTGGTGCACGTCAGACAAGGTTGTTCTGGCCTCTGACGACGGCTGTATCCGAGTTTTGGAGATGGCCATGAAGTCCGCCAGCTACCGCATGGATGAACAGGACCTGACCGGTGAGCTAGTGGAGCGAGGAAGGAAGGAAAGAGAAGTGCATATTGAATTTTGATTAGGGAAATTAGTTGGATAAAGGCTTATTATTTAAGAAATAATTCATTAAAAATACATCCAATAACACAATGCAGGACATAATGACACATGATGTAATACAAGTTGACATTAAAGGGGCCCTATTATGCCCATTTTCAGGTTCATATTTGTATTTTGTGTCTCTACTGTGACATGTTTAAATGCTTTAATGTTCAAAAGGGTCTTTATTTTTCTCATACTGCCTGTGCTGCATCCATTCACCCTCTGTCTGAAACCAGAGCCCAGTCTGCTCTGATTGGTTAGCTGGCCGGCTCTGTTTAGAAGCATGCGTGTGACGTAGTGATGTCACTATGTCGCGCAAGTAACAAAGGACTACAATGGAGGTGTTTCAGGCAGGGGAGGGGGAGTGTGTGGGAAGGAAATTTCGTATTTTAGCCTTTGTAGATAATATATATGCACAACAACCTATAAACCACATTACAGGAAAGGGAAACCCCAAGAACCATAACAGGGCCTCTTTAATATGCCTGTTCCTTTCGATGGGGTGAATATCTTTCAGATCCAGTGTGGTGTCCTTACTTGCTGGTGCCCCGTGCTGCCCTCACTCTCAAGACCTTCCTCCTGCTGCAGCCCTGGTCAGGAACCTTCACCATGGACATCACTCAAGTGTAAGCATCAACTCCGAGTGACTCACCGTACAAGTGTCCACTTTTAAATCACCCCCTTCTATGATCTCAGTGTAAGTTTTCAATTTTAAGTTTTTCTACCTCATCTGACCTGCGGTTTCAGGACCCAGGAAATGCACAGGAAAAATAAATACTTGGAGAATATATAGCAGCCCACTGCATGGCCCAGAGACAAAAATCCAAGTCATGACATGATTTAAGATCTTTTATAAGCAGTACTGTGAGAGCAGAGCACTTTTTTACAGCTCAAAATGCCCTGTGCCAGTCTTCAACATCAATACCAGTGTTGATCAATGCGTTTTAATTTATTTATAAGACCTATGTAAAGTCTGAATTAATTTTGTGAACTGATGTTGAGTACACCAGCTGTCAAATTAAAAACAAATACTGGCATCAACGTGTTTCCCTAAAGAAGCAGAGCAACATATTGATATGGGCCAGTGTTTCATTTATGTATATCTACACAGACTTAAAATGTAACTGCATTTGAACTCCCTCTTACCACAAACAGTAAAAAATGCTGCCCATAAAAAGCACTAGTGGAGGAAGAATTCAAATCCTTTTCTTTAACAGATATAATAATACACACTGTTAAAATGCTTTTCTACACATTGAGTAATTTATATTAAAAGAACGTATAATTTACAGTTTTGGATCATCATATGGTTTAACACACAGTAATGCTTATTCCTTCAGTTCATCACATATATTCAGTTATGTCGAAAATGAACTAATGCTGTCAGTCAAATCTAATGGAGTAAAATGATTCTGCATTCCTTCACTGATAAAAGATTATTAGCTGCCTATTTTTGTGTTTTTTGTAGGTTATTTTAATTTTATATATTTTCAAGCTTTAGTCTCGGTTTCACCAGAAACATGAATAACTCAAATTTAGATTTTTGTTAAACTTGATATTGCCATTCCTATTAATACAATTCCACACTGATTTTCGTTCAGTTCCATTTATATAAAAACTGAAGATGAGCTGATCAGATTTTGGCCACTTTGTGATGTCATAATGTTTTTATTACACCTTATCACCTGAATCTCCTCCTAGAGCACCATTGTGTTCTTTTTAACCAAATATCTCTCTCTCAGAGGGGTGTGGCTCCTTATTTCCATCTAAAGTAACAGACTTTAGACTTTTAAAACAGGGCTGAAACAGAGGGGTTTATGGGATGCTACAATGCACGATCTGTTTGATATTTGGAGCCAAACACTTCAGAGACATCAAATCAAGTTTTATTTATATAGCACATTTATAAACGATTTTTGGTCGAGCCAAAGTGCTGTACATATAATAAAAATAGCCTACAGTAGAGACACTTTACAGCAAATACAACAGCACAGATTGTTCAGAATATTAGTATGAGAAAAACGACACCCTCTATCCTTAGACCCTCACATCGTACAAGGAAAAACTTCCAGAGAAAACCCCACAGTTTAAGGGGAAAGAATGGGAGAAACCTCAGGGAGAGCAACAGAGGAGGGATCCCTCTCCCAGGACGGACAGACGTGCAATAGATGCCGTGTGTAAATCAAAGAGATAATACATTTTACAGCATATAGACCGAATGTTAGGAAATGCATGTGTCTGTAATAAGAAGATGAATCCACGAGGATGTCAGCTACAATCCTGTGGAAGCCATCAGGGAAGCAGCATGACGAGACCCAAGGCAGGACCGCAGAGACAGGTTCAGCCACGACCCGAAGTCCACGACTTAATCCAGAACTCAGGATAGAGGATCCAGGACACAGGACTACAGCAAGAGGATCAGCCTCGACTCCGGATCCCGGCGTAGATATAGATACAAAACAAGAAAAAAGATTTGGCTGAGTTAATCGGAACAAGAGAATACACAGACACAGACAGAGAGGGAAAAGGTCATTGGATAAAAGTTATTCTTGATAACCCTCTAGAAAGATCTCATGAACTTCCCCACTCAATCTATCAAGACCCGAGCAGTTCTATTAGATATAGGATAAGAAACAGAGATAGGGAGCACAACAACAAGTTTTGTATATATGGAGACCTATAATATACTGATGAAAAAGAGTATAATAGGGGACCTTTAAAGGTAGGGTAGGTAAGAATGGAGAAACCAGCTCGAGTGCGCTAGAATTTGAAAGTACACAACCGGAAAAAATCTGCCCCTTCTGTCAGACTTCCTTACAGAGCCCCTCCTCCAACACACACGAACGAACGTGCACATGACCAATGAGGGCACGAGATAAGTTTGTGCACAGATGGAAAGCTGACCGGCAGGTAGGCCATCCAGATATTTTAGCCGGTCCAGCTCAGATGATTGGTCGTGCTTTTTACAGCGCTACGGCTTCCACAGATGAATTTATTTTATGTATTTATTGTCAAAGCATTTAATATATTCATTGCTATCGGGATGTTAAGAGCATTCTATGGAATATAACAAAAAGTGTTTCTGAAGTGAATTACCTACCTTTAATATCAGGTCATGTTTTATTTTAGTGAGGCATGTGAGTTTGACCCTTCTGTTTCAGAGACTACACCGAGAAAGACGAGATTAAAGGCCTGATCCAGGAGCAGCTCAACGCCATGTCTAAGTGAGTAATTGCACTTTTTAATGGTGATTTTTAAAATAGCATATCTTTTTTTATGTTGTGATTCAACAATCAGATGTTTGCTAAATGTCAGTTTCCGTTTATGAAGTTTTCACTTGCGCTCAGATTCATGTTTAGACAGCAGGCCCAGAAAGCATGTAGTGTGTGGGTAGACGGATAAAAGGGAATCTCCCGTAACAGCCACGCTGGGCCCGCTGTGTCTGAGAAGTGTAATTGGCGCTCGCTGTGTTCTGATTGTCTGCCTCTGATTGGCTCCCCAGTGATATGAAGAGCGTGCTACAAGACCCGGAGCTCACCCTGCTGCAACGCTGCCTCCTGGTCTCACGGTGAGTTTAAACTCAGCATGGAGCTCTAACACTGTTTGGTGTCTGCACATGAAGCACTGTGTCAATGAGGTACCCCGGCGTGACTATTGTGTTAGCATTCAGACGGTGTCAAAGAAGTTCTGAGTCACTGAGTTCTAACAAAAGTATAGTTTATATAAGCAGGGTAATATTAAACAACAAACAAACAGCTGTTATCCCGGAAGTGGAAAGACGCTCTTTGAGGATACAAACACATTTTTCTTACCAACATAGAAAAAAACCTCTTTTTGCCTCCATATGTTTCCCCCTGCTAGTGTCTTCCTGTCTTTTTGTATAATCTTTAGGCAGTTGAGTGGGTAATAATGACCTAAAGTCGAACAGTGTTTGCATTAACGCTACTACTGATCAATCTGGGATCGAGGACCTAATTAAACCAAGCGAGCTTAATTAAATGGAAATCAGTACCTATCATCATTACCGTTAATTGTGTACTAAAAGTATAAAAATGAGATCTTATTAGCTGCTTTCCACAATATTTTTTCCTCCCTTTGTGGACCACAGTTTTTACCCGAGGAGGCTGGAGATTAGCATCTAGGTAAAGTGGTTTTAGCTATTGCAGATTTGCACTTGAGTATTTATTTGTTACATTTGAATTCATTCAGATTATGTAATGTAAAATATAAGATGTATATTTTAAACTGTGAAATAATCTGCCTAAATAACAGAGTTATTTTTTTCCGCAACTGTACAGCCTTGTTTCTGTATCCCCACAAACAAGGCATGACACGAGAGCTGGTGTCAGCAACTCTGATCTCATCTCTGCTCCACTTCTCCGTTCCCTCGAGCATCCGACGTAACTAGAGCAGCCAGTCTGAGTAAAAATGCAATCTCCCCCCCTGTTTGCATCCTGTTATTTAAGCCTAGAACATCCCAAAGACCCCTTTCCTACGGTGATTGAATACAATGTCCCCGCTCACAGTGAGAGCCCATGATTATGTCTCCACAGCTGACTGCCCAAGTTTTTCATGGCATGGATAATGTGGCAAGGTAACCTAGCAACAGCTGTGTGCCTCTGCAGATATGTTGAAAGGGATGCTGAGGGAAGTAAATGACGAAAGAAAAGGCAGTGTGTGGAGAGGGGGTGGACGGGAGCTGAAAGAGCAAGGCGTGGGCTGGAAGATGCAGGAACTGTGGTCATTAGTGAGCGAACTACAAGAAGAAACTCGCAGAATGTCTGACCTACACTAACTTCCCCCGAGAGAACATCCGCTAAGCTGATGTGATGTTGTGGTAAACCGCAGGCTGTTCGGGGACGAGTCGGATCTTCACTTCTGGACTGTGGCGTCCCACTACATCCAGGCGTTCGCTCAGGCCCGTCTGTCCACCGCAGAGGGGAACACCCAGGGTGACGGAACCAAGCCACCGCCGCCTCAGAACCACCTGGACATCTGCAATGACATCCTGTGTGAGAGCTCTTACTTCCAGGTCAGTAAAACAACAAAACATTAAGTGTCAGCATCCCAAATCTGATCCCAAGTCAGACATGTGGGCTTGTGTTGAACCACGACCAATACTCTTCTCCAAGCCAAATCACAACCTTAAAAACGTTCAAATAATTCAAATAAAAAAATTACCATTGATACATTTTTTGGGGAACAAATATTGACATCATCTGCTTAAGTGAAAGCAGCACTACCGGTCTCCCCTGTCCCACAGTTAGCCAATACAATAAGACCAAAAAGATGCCTTTCTCAAAGAATGGGTTGTACTTTCATGTCTTAGATATTATGAAACAACCAACTTTTTTCTGCATTATTGCACTCAAATGTGCGAAGTAAAAAATGCCTGATACCTCCAAACACGTTCTTTGCTTTCTTGCAGGTTTATAAAAAGTGTCACCTTGATTAAAAAATATGGTACACCAGTGCAAGCCGTTTAAAAGACATAGTCTGAAACCTGGTTAGCCGGTTATTGCTTTCTCAGTCTCTGGTTCACTGACACAATGGAGACAAATACCTGATCCATGCAGTCGACATTTAAAAATTCCCATAGGATTCCTCACAGAGACAGTTACTCTCCTGAAGTCAGAACACACACAAACAAGCCCCTACCATGCAGTGTCTTGTCATCCAAAGTGTCAACACAGCACGGGTCACACAGTATATTCCATTATCAATGACATCGTGTATTAGGGCTGCTCGATTATGGCAAAAATCATAATCTCGATTATTTGGGTCAATAATTAGGGCCCGAGCACGGAGCACTAGGACCCAACGGCGTCCTAGCACGAAGTGCGAGGAACCTATTGTTATTGGTGGAATTATTATTTTTCTGCTGGCGCTTCCTGTTTTTGAGGCCTTTAGGACGCTGACAAAGTTGTATAATTTTGCACGGACGCCAGGACTGGTGAAAAATACAATATTCTGGAGTCAATGGGTTAAATATTCCAACGTGCTCGCTAGCGCCACCTATGAAAAACCCATTTCGGAATAAATGTACAAAGTCGCACCGTAACTCCAAATGACCTGAAATTTTGCACACATATCCGGGTGGACCTGCTCTACAAATAATCCTCTTGGAACCCTAAGCTCCGCCTACTTTTCAAATTTAAATTAGCATAATGTTCAAAACAGTTAAATATTCACTTACATTTCAATTTTCAGTTTTCAGTTTTTCAACACCAAACTTCGTATACAGCATCGGTGGAGGGTCAGACACATTACCGTAGAAAATGAGCATGTTAGGACGATAAATATTGCTGCCGTCAATCAAAACGTACTCGCAAAAAGGTGGGGCTTAGAAAGAAATGCTCATAACTCATCAACAATGTATCCAAACATCACAGATTTTCGTAGATAGGTTCAGTCTGTCTTGCGGAATAGGCACACCAAAGCATTTTCATTTTGGACTATAGGGGGCGCCAAAAACACCACCAATTTATAACTCACGAGCGGATGGACTAATCTTCTTCTTTTTTTTTACACATACTCTCGGGGTGACTACAAACTCAGATTTAAAGTGTCGCAACAAATTCAGAATGTGGGCGTGGCCTATAACAAATGTTTCAATTGCGATAGCATAAAATGAGCTTCGGACGCAAAACTTGGGACACACGTCAGAGCCCACGACCTTTTCGAGAATGTAAAAAAAAAAACGTAATTTTTCAAAAAAACTGCTCACTAGCGCCCCCTATTGTGTGGTAGTCACATATAGTTTCTCAGAACTTTACGAATTTTGGCACAGACATTCCTCATAGAATTGCAGACATATTTGTATATAGATTCCATTAGCCCCGCCCCCCAGGAAGTCGGCAATTTTTTTAAATGTGCGTTTTTCATGCATTTTAAGCACATTCTTGCGAACTCCTCCTAGGGGAATGATCGGAAAAATTCCAATCCAGGATACGTTCAGCCCCTATCCAATATGATGCTATATTGAGAAGAACATTTTTGATAGCTCAATCGTGGAGGTCGTAAGCTAACAGCGAATACACAATTTGACGATTTACATGGTGCAAATTGCTCCAAACTGCTCGCATATAGTTTTTCCGATATTCACGAAACGCAGTATACACATTACTATTATGATTGCACACATATTTCAAATTGCCTTCCATTAGCCCCGCCCCCCAGGAAGTCGGCCATTTTGAAAAATGTGCGTTTTTCATGCATTTTAAGCACATTCTTGCAAACTCCTCCTAGGGGAATGATCAGAAAAATTCCAATCCAGGACAGTAACCAATATGATGCTAAATTGCGAAGAAAATAGTTGCTAGCTCAAACGGGGAACTCGTAACCTAACGGAGAATGTACCATTTTTGACGATTTACATGTCACAAATTAATCCAAACTACTACATTTCCATTTTTGGAAACCTTTACAAAGTGGCACCGTAACTCCGAATGACCTGAAATGTTGCCCACTTATTCGGGTGGACCTACTCTACATAGTATGTCCTTGAACCCCAAAGCTCCACCTACTTGATTTGTTTTGAATTAGCATAATGTTGAAAACAGTGAAATATTACCTTAAATTTCCATGTTTTCTTTTTCAACGCCAAACTTAGTATACAGCATCGGTGGTGGGTCAGACACATTACCGTAGAAAATGAGCATGTTAGGACGATAAATATTGCCGCCGTCAATCAAAACGTACTCGCAATAAGGTGGGGCTTAGAAAGAAATGCTCATAACTGCTGGCTCTGCTGGCGGCAAATTCAATTACAACAGACACCTATACACTCCACAACAGACACCTACTGACTGTACAACACACACATACAGCTCCTAAAGCATATAATGTATATCAGGCTACAGCCCTTGTATATTTTATTATGTGAAGCACTATATGGTTTCATGAAAAATATCTACTGTTTACTTGTAGATATCTACTAAAGCATACAAATAAAGTGTGTAATGTAGGCCTGTTACATATATTATTGCGGTTCTCACTGTAAACATCGCCTCACAATGAAAGCAGTTGTATTAAAATAAATAGCCTAACATCCAGGGGAGATGTGATTAGTGAGTAAACAAACGGTAAAGGGCGGAAAGTCTGATTTACATTTCATCATCTTGAATAACTTATAATCACAACGGGAACAGTTTGCAGAGCTGTGCTTCGTTGACATAAATCCAGCCATGCGTCACGCCTCTTTTAAACATCACTGTTGGCTGAAATCGACTCCGGAGAATACATCAGTGTACCCTCGGTTATAGCTCCTCCAGAGAGACTCCTCTCTCCTCTAAATCAGTGTATCCTCGGTTACGGCTCCTCCAGACAGCCTCCTCGATAATCGATAATTGTTTTCGTAATCGTTGCAAGCCATCATTGTAATCGCGATTAAAATACGATTAATTGAGCAGCCCTATTGTGTATGTATCTCTTCTGTTGTCTCACTAAGCCTCGCTCTTTTAGGGAAGTATCTCACACTTTCAAGCCTTTAAGGTCAAACCTATCTTTCACTTTGACCCCACTAAAACTAAAATCAATCCCACCAACATTTCCTCCAATGACTCTAGCCCACCCCAGGCTACGCTCAATGAAAAAAACATCTCTTGTTTGCTCCGTGTCATTGCTCGGATCAATTCGCTTGCTGATGGCTTTAATAAACAAAACCTTGGATCCCTTCTTTTTTTTCAGCACTAATTATTGACCCAGTTTGTTCTGTAAAATGTTGAGAAGATGTCTATTGATCTGTCCTCCTCCGCCTTTTTCTACCTTTGCCGGTCAACATAGCACCATCATAGTCCATTTGAATAAAAAAAGAAATCCACCTTCATGTGTTCATCAGGAATGCATCTGTTTTCCATTAAAAAAAAATGTTCCATGTTAGATCTTATGTACCCTAACATTGTGTTTGTGTTGCAAGTAATCTACTTCTGCGGACATAGTTATAAAAAGAAAACAAATGGAATAGTTGTTTAAAAGTTGGTTGTCCAAGTGAAGCCAGACTGGATTTCTTCACCTACAAAGCTACATAATGTTCCTCGACCTTTTTTGATGAAAGCCAGTTAAGGAAAATGTCAAACGGCTGTTACTATTAAAGCTTAAAGTAGCATGAATGGACTGTCTAATTTCATGGATGTTCTATTAAAAAACCTCAAATAAGTCTTTTTTTCTCTCTGAGTGTCTTTCGAGGTTAATTGGATGGATTATGCACTATTCTGTTCTTTAAAATAGTTTTAACTTTTAATGAGCAGCCGCGGAGTGATCCCAAAGTTTCAAAGTGCTGCCCAGACACTCGGCAGCTACTCTCGCAACTGTTTGTCATAAAACAGCTTCAGTGGCAGCAGCCTGGCTGTAATTACTAATATCCACGACTCCAATAAAGAGCATGCGGTTACTAAACTCATCTTGTATCTCTGCAAGGATTTTAAGCCCACGGCTGTGACTCACTGAAGTGCAAAGAAAGTACTGCCTGTGTCGGATAAAGATACAGGGTGTACATACACACACATACACACACATATCCTGTGCAACTAATGTTCTACTATGCTGTTATCGCTCTCGTTATTGAACCATTTTCCCTCTAGTCCTCATATAAAACTCATTCTTTAAAATAGCTATCGCTGTTTAAATGTTTCAAGCCTATCATTTGCTCTCTGAAAAAAATATCTGAACTCCCAATTGGGCACATGTAATGAAATAATGGGGGGGGAAAGCACTGATATTAAGTATGGGTGGCTCTGGCACCAGAGACACTGGGAGAACTCTTGAATATTTTAAGGGCTTTTTAATTGCGCTCTCCATCTCTGCTCTCTGTATTTCTATAATTGTCCTCCATATCTTTTTTTGCACATCATTACTCTTTTTCTGTCCAGAAATGATACATCTCTACTGCTCACCCACACACACGCTTATGGATCTATGGAGGCATTTTGTTAAAATAAGCTAACTTTTGTCTTCACTTTCCTGCCCAACAGAAATTCCAGTTGGATCGGGTCCACCTGCAGGAAGTGAAGCGCTCCAGTTATGAACACACTAAGAAATGTGCGGACCAGCTCCTCCTGCTGGGTCAGGTAGGAACTGCACCACACAGACTGTTCACACACTGTCCTACAGAAACAATTATAACATAGAAGAGTGTCATTATAGAAGGGTTTTGGCTCACATTCCCCAGCCTTAAAATAACCTAGGAGATGATCAAACATGTCTTCTGTAATTGACATCAAAGTTACTAAAATATTCTGATCTACTTCAGTGCCCCACTACAAATAAACATCCTGCATTCAAAACCTTCCTTATGTCATGTAATTATGTAAAATGTTCCCTGCAAGTGTTTTATATGATGTTTTGGGATAAGTATTGCTGCTGCATTAATGTGTCTGTTGCCTTTAACCACTGCAGATGTTAAAGATTGTCCATTGTGACTGTGGTAGTTTTCTCTACAGCAATGCATCATATATTATAAAATCACATGTTTGAAGCATTGCTGTCCAATGATGATGAAATATCTCTAAAAAGACGACTTCTTGTGTGTGACCAGCTTTGTGTGAGTTGCATTTAACAGCTTAACCAAGAGGCTTTTTAAATATAGATGAGTTCAAAGTGCAATATTTGCCTCTAAGGGCAAACCTCCTTTTGATATTTCAAAAAATAAACCTGGCAGAGGTTTTGCTTTTACTTCTTTCTTGCTTAAAGCTTCCAGACTATATGCCACCATCCTGTCTCCCACAAAAACACTAACTAACACCTTCACACTCTATAGCTGGACATACAAGCATATTCCCATGAGGGTAAATAGGTGATGTCGCTGCTGTGGAGCCTAATGAGGCAAGATTGACGTTAAGTGCTGCCTGTGTCCCCCCTGGTGTCTCAGCCTGTGGGGATTGCAGTCACCCCTCCCCACTTTATGTCCCCACTCTGGCTCTAACCACAGGCTGCAATCAGCAGGCTGTACGTGGAGGCGCTCCCCTCCAATCGACAGACAGGCTGAGGCCAGCATGAGCTGACCCCGCCTGAACCTCATCCCCTCCAGATGAAACCCTGATAATGAACATAATTTCCCCTTGTTACTGCTGTTGTTTGTCCTCAGTCATTACATCCTCATCTCTTTGTTGTGGCTCTCAGACGGACCGGGCAGTGCAGTTACTGTTGGAGACGAGCGCAGACAACTCCAGCTACTACTGTGATTCCCTCAAAGCCTGCCTGGTGACCACCATCACCTCCTCAGGACCCTCTCAGTCCACCATCAAACTAGTGGCCACCAACATGATCGCCAACGGCAAGCTAGCAGGTAGAGTTGCTGTATGTCTGAAAAACAAAAAAACTTCTCCTCTGGGTTTTAATGAGTATCTGCAGCGTGTGGGTGGCTGCAGCCTCAAAAGCACTTATCCTTAACCCCTGTGCCTCATTGGGCAAGTTTTGGGCTTTTTCATTTTTTTCTTAAATATGGCATACATTTTGGCAAGGGTGAGATTTTCTTTAGTTTTAACTTTTAACTATTAACTTAAGGACCTGTAAAAACCACTTATTTTGAGGACATTCGAGTCATCCATTTTGTTGTATCAGACTTTTCATCTAAAGCCCTGGGCTGCAGTCGAATAGTCCATTTAGCTTAGGAACCTTCCTAACAGAGTGAAATGACCCGGAAGTCCCTCAGTGGCAGCCATGATAAGTGCCGTTCGAATTCTCTAGATGATAGGAAAGGAGGTTTCAAACTTCCTTTATAACCTCCTTTAGCTTAGGAACCACTGGACCTCCCTAACCGAAAGGAGAGGAGAAAATGCTGCCCCACAATGCATTGCGGCCGCAGCATTTGCCGTCACACAACAGTCGGCCGTTCACGGAAACAACCGATTATGACCGAGAAATGATATCATGAAAGTTACGGTGCTTATTAAGCATTTTAAAACGTATGTGGTAAGTTGTCAAAGTGCTTTTTTCTGAACGTTCATCAGTATTATAATCAAAAAGAGAAATATGAACGTTAGTTTTTACTGAAATGATCAAATAAAGTCAACATCTCACAGTGTTTACTGAGCTGTGTGGGGTTTGTTCAACTTTTAAAAGATGTTTGAATGGTGATATACACAGTGATAGATGTTAAGGACTAACGTTTATAATAAATACATTTGTATTGATTTTAAGATATTTTCATACAATCATACGTATTGGGATCATTTGTGTTAATGCGGACCGGAGGGAGAGGGTGACGAGCATAAGTTTCACTTTCCTTTTTTATTTCAATTCCAACTTTGGTCATGAGGAATATGTTACTCTGTTGTCCACGTTCATAAAGCAAAGCAACAGCATCAGAGCACGGTGCAGAGTCTCTAGATGAGTTTACAGTAGTCCCTCGTTCTTATTAAACATCCATGTTGTAGAAAAGTGTAGTTTCCATAGTTTCCCCACAGCAGCAGACGCACATTCATGACGTCCGCTGGCGCATCATAAACACGTCGGATAGTGAAAGTGCATTCGGATTCTCTAAAGTACCGCGGTCTCTTCTCCTAAGTCCTTTTGAATTCTCCTATCCACTATCCCTTAACCCCGTGACGTTTCACTCAGAGGTCAAGGAATAGGAGATAGGGTTAGAACTTAGGAGCTAATTTTTGGACTATTCGACTGCAGCCCTGGCTTAACATTTTTTGATTTCCTCCAGATGGAGCCGTTTTTCATGTTTGCCCTTCAGGACAAATAGATGTGTTTTCCTGATTTTCTGTAAAAACAAAACAGCAGCAGTTTTTCCAACATTAATATCCTCGAAGGACATCAAAATAACTTTTTTTTCAAAGTGAGGCACAAGGGTTAAATATTTATAAAAATATTGGATTCAACTTGATCCAAATATTGCATAATGAGTGTGGCTATTGCCAGCAGTGTGTAAATAAATAATCACACTGGTTTCCGGTCTTGCATAGAGATAGGCTATTATATCTCCATTTCACATGCATACACAAACTCTCCCCTTCTGCTGTCCGTCAGAGGGTGTCCAGCTGCTGTGTTTGATTGACAAGGCGGCGGATGCCTGTCGCTACCTGCAGACCTATGGGGAGTGGAACCGAGCCGCCTGGCTGGCTAAGGTAACTCAGCATGACGGCGTCCGTCAACAGGAAGCATCACACACTGTGAAATGTTTGGATAGTGTCAGAGTGAGTTGTGCAAGTTCAGAGTGTACTAACTGTGTACATTGTACAGTATGCTTGAGTTTACATATTATCTGTTGGTAATTGCAAGAAGAGTTGTGACAGATTATTCACATTTATAATAATAATAAAGCTGTATTTATATAGCACTTTTCATACAGCACGTGCAGCTCAAAGTGCTTTACAAAATGGCACACACAAAAATAAACAACAAGAAATTCCCCTCAGATCAGATGTTAAAACCTTTACAGATACATGCAGCAAAACATTTTAACAGGTTAAGAGACAAAAGGAGGTAAAATGTATGATACAAATAAATAATGATTTATCTCGGATGATAAGACACAAGACAAGTGAATAGATGCAACAATATAAAACCCTACAACATAAAGTGATCATATAGGTACAACAGAAATACAAATTAAATGATAATAGTAATAAAAAAAGTCATTATTCTAATAAAGGTTAAACGATTAAAATATTTAAAAAACAACATAAAAATAAATGTTGCTATTTAAAGTCTTAAATAAATAATATAAGATAAAATGTTTGATTTATACAGTGATCTTTAAGCCACCGATTTGAACTTATGAATGTAATTATTTTAGCTTATTTGCAACTATGTTTGAACAAGTTTTCTCATTAGCGTTAGCATTAGCATTGCAATTAATGGATTTTGGAAAGACAGACATTGTGTGTGTGTGTGTGTGTGTGTGTGTGTGTGTGTGTGTGTGTGTGGTGTGTGTGTGTGTGTGTGTGTGTGTGTGTGTGTGTGTGTGTGTGTGTGTGTGTGTGTGTGTGTGTGTGTGTGTGTGTGTGTGTGTGTGTGTGTGTGTGTGTGTGTGTGTGGTGTGTGTGTGTGTGTGTGTGTGTGTGTGTGTGTGTGTGTGTGTGTGTGTGTGTGTTTCCAGGTGCGTCTGAACCCAGCAGAGAGCTCAGATGTGCTGAAGCGCTGGGCGGAGCACCTGTGCTCCCCGCAGGTCAACCAGAAGTCCAAAGCCATCCTGGTGCTGCTGTCGCTGGGCTGCTTTTACAAAGTAGGAGAGATGCTGCACGGGTAAGACCCTGGACTGATGCCGTTATGAGCCTATTGTATAATAATAATAATAATACATTCGATTTTGATAGCGCTTTTCCTAATGCTCAAAGGCGCTTTCCATATATATATATATATATATAATCGCAGACATAGCTCAAAAAACGTGCAAGACCATGGCATGGGCTTAGAATGAAGTCCTATGAAGTGTTGCATTGGAAAATATGAAGAAACCCTGGTCTTTCTTGTATTCATTACATTCCCAGAAATTCGGTAAATTAAAAAAGCCATCATAATTAGGAATACCTTTTAACTTTATCTCTTTTAAAATTCCAAATGTTTTACCCTGTGACTTTTTCTTTGAGTGTATGGCAGTATAAACTATGGTCTGAGTGACCCCATATATTTTTCCTCCAAAACGATTCCCTTGGTTTGTTGTTCTACTTCTCCTCTTCGTGCTCTGAGATCTGACAGTGAAAGCTCAGGGAATTAGGGGGACATCAGGGCTGATGTATGCTTTGGGATCCCAGCCATCAGGGCAGGGATGAGGCTGGGGTCTGCCAATAGCTCTCACCTCCTCATGCCTGTGTCTTTGTCCTCCTCCATCCATCTCCCGGGCAGCATGCGGTACTTTGATCGAGCCGCGCTCTTCATCGAAGCCTGTCTGAAGTACGGGGTGATGGAGGCCGATGACTCTTCCAATATCCTTTTTGAAAACCCATTACTGCACTCCGATGGACATTTATAACCAGGGTTAGGTTCCCTCTTAACGCTGTCCATCTGTACTGCAGATGTGCACTCCATAGTAGAGAGCTCTTCACAGTAAAGGACATTTAAAAGCACATCGTATCTCATGAGAGAACTTTTAGAACTTACTTTAAAAACGTCTGAACATAGACATACAGAAATAATACATGTGTTGTAGTTTAGCCCATCCTGCAATGTTTTTCCTCAGATGTATATAAGTTTACTTTATTGCAACTGCATACATAAGTTCTACTAGTCAGCCTTTTTTTTGGCTTATATTATATTCTTATTTGTATCTTGTGTGATCAGCGCAATGTAGTAATAAACACACTACAGAACAAAGGATAAGGGGGTGGGAAAAGGTAAACCTCTAAAGTAATATTTCATCTCATGAGATGGAAACATCCCCCCTGGCTTGTTCATTGGTCAGATCTGGCCTGTAGCCACTAAGTGATTTATCATTTATGGAGATACACCAGGAGCACACTAAGCCTGCGCAGGGCCAAGCTGTCTTTCAAGAAGATCAAATATCTCATTTTCAGAGTTTCCCAGTGTATTCATTAATATCCTCCTTTAAGAAAGTGACATATCTATTTTAAAACCAATATAAATGTTGCCTAACTACAAACTCAAGTGTCTGTTTCCATCTAATCTTTAGTATTTTTGTGACCATCAAAAGTAGCCTAAACGAGGTGGGCCGCAGTGCCATCAGATAAATGCTGAATATATTTAGTTGCACTTGCTAAAACTTAATGCAGTCAAAGCAACAGTTCTGAAAAAAACAGGTCGTCCCTTCATTAAGGGGATAAAGACCTGTTGATGTGGAAGCATTTTAAGAGAGGGTTTGATTCAATGTTAAAGACATTTGCGGACTGCAGTTTGTATTTTAACTCCTACTCTTTGTCTTGCATTATGTTATGCATATAGTGTTCCTAGTATTGTAATGACTGCACTGATCTCTGTATATGAGATTCATATTATTTATTTTCTCACCAAACTGTTCAGTGGTGTCTTCATCCTGAATGGAAGCACCCGCATTCATTATATTAGTCAGGTGTCTGTATGTGATAATGATGATAATCATGATGTAAAAGACACTGCAGTGCATCTAAATCTGGCTGACTGGCTTCCTCTTTCTTTTTTGAAAGCCTTGGCAGCAGACTTTTGGACTAATTATGGTCTTGAAAAAACATTATAGACACTATTACAGTTATCTAACGTAATTCAAATCAATTCATGAACTCTGAATCTTGTTGGGATAGAAAAGGTTGTCCCTTTTCTGTGGGATTTAAAGAGTACGTCTGAGTCAAGGATAATGCCCAGGCTCATTATGTTCATCATCAGCTACTAAATAAGAACATTATCACAGATACTTACTAAAACAAACAACATGTGATGTTAAAATCAGAGTATAACTAACAATACTTTCCTGAGGGGGAATGAAAACTTTCACTGTGTTTTCTTCTGACTTATTTAATGTTATGAGTTCTCCTTGACCTCCTCCTGCACATAAACTAATCAAGTCTGCGTTTCTGGAGTACGCTCGGCTGCTGCGCTCCCTGGGCCTGCGGGAGGGCGCCGCTCTGTGGGCGTCCCGGGCCGGCAGCGCAGGGGAGCAGCTGATGGAGGAGCTGTTCCAGGGGGAGGGCAGCGTGCCAGAGAGCGTTATCAGCGAAGACAAAGAGCTGGGCCAGGAGAGCACCGAGTGACCACTGAAAGATTTGGAGAAGAACGGATGATGGTGCAAATCAAGGATCCGTCATTCATTCTTACTTCTAAACCTCGAGTGAACTCTGTGTGTCAGCGCCCAGAGGAGTCATGATCCTCATCAGGAGAAGAGAGGAGATGTTTCCGTGTGGAGTCCGTCTCCCTGTTTCTGTGACTACAAAGAGTTTCTAAATGTTTGGTATGACGTGTGTGTTTGTGCACATTTGTGAATGCATGCAACGGCCCCAAAAGAAACAATCTTCTGTCCTGATTCCCCCCAAACACGTGAAGTGATGCACCTCGTGTTTTTGTAGGTTAATGGATTTAACTTTTTATTTATGGTTGCTTGGTAAGCTTTATTTTTGCGTGCCTGTGTTAATGACTTCAAAGTACTGTTGTAGCTCTACAGGTTTCATTTGCCTTTTCTCTGCTGGGATGAAATACGGCAGAGTTAATTCATCCAAAAATAATACGTTCCATATTTCATTTGCACTGCCCTTGACGGCTCACATTACTACTCCATGACTGGATTCCCTCGTAAATTAACCAAAAATACCAAATTATTAGAATGCTAACTATGATTCCCTGTACAGAGACACAGTATTTCTGTAGGCAGACACACGACAGACTGGGTGTTCCAGCCACAGCAGGTGGTGCTGTATAATTGAGTGACCAAAGCCTGCTGCCTCCCAGCCTCCGCAGCTGTAACTGTTGAGCGGCAGGAAAGTTAGCCAGGCCACCTTGCTCCTAATTCACCCTTATTATAATTGAATGTCCCTGAACACAGAGGCGATAGGAGTGATGCCGTTTAATTAGCTTGTGTAGAGTTCACATTAGTTGAATAGATTTTTCGTTTTCTACTTTTATGAAACCTTGAAACGAAAACTACTCTTCTTTGATGTTTGTGTGACGCGGTTGTTCTATGGTGTGTATTACAAGATGATCTGTCAAAAATGTGTCTGTACTCATTTGAATCAGACTTTTGACATCATTTACACACAAACCGTAATCTGTGCTGCCATCACAATTACAAAGGCAGACACACATATTTTAGGATATGACCCACTGCCATCCGTTCTGCTTTTCTGACCATCATACTCATCCTACTCATCGATGCAAAATACATATTAAGTGGTTGTGTTTTTTATTGCGTTGTAGCGTGTTAACTGGTCCTGAAACGAGACAGTAACTCCATCCGTGGGACCATTGTTTGTTGTGCGGTTTTGTGTTTCATAAACACGTCAGTGCTGTTTCTGTTGTGTTGCGTATAACCCCGAGTCACTATGGCAACCCAGGCCTATTTTAGGGCACTACATGCTCCTGTAGATCCATTTCACTCCCACTGACATACTGTAGGATCTCACACCCAGCAGATAATCAGCTGTAGTTTACCCATGCTGTGTTTCTTCCTCCAATCACGTCATGCAGTATTGTGCAATGAACTGTACTTCCTCTTTATGATTAGTGTGACTAACACAGAGCAAACTATAGCCTTTTTTCATTGTTCTTTGTTCATTGTTTGTACAGTGATCCTAATGCTTTAAGCTATATAAATATGACAAGAGAAAAAAAATATCTGTATATATGGATGGAAATAAAATCAATATTATTAACTTTATATGTCCTGTGTGCTGTTATATGTTGACTCAAGAGGGCGCTCTTGTCCCTCAATGAGAGGCAAAGTGGCTGTGTAATGGCACTTTGAGAGAAAGACCTGTTATAGCAAGAGCTCTTTTAATTATCCCCCTTCAATTTCAGCCCAGGTAGATTGGATTTGAATGTTCCTTCATTTGTCAAACTGCCCTAAAAGTGAATTAGTTCCTGCATGAGTCGCTTCCGCCTTTAATGGCTTCTTTTCTGCTCAGAAGGAGGGCCAACAGCTGGCCGCAGCTCGCTGCCCAGGTCTAACGGTTCTCACTCTTTTCCTTTCTCCTCGGATTTATTCATTGAAGTGCATTCTGTTTCTTCTCTCCTGCGAGAAAGGCAGAGCACAAAGAGAAGAAAAACAGTCTGAAACAGAAGGCCACACAAATGATTGGTTGTGTTCCCTTTTAATGGCTTAATGAATAACTGCCGGAGAGCCGATCCAGCCAGGCCATCGGTATGCAGGCCGCACTGCGCCTCTGTTCTGTCCCTCTGTTTTGTCCCTCTGTTTAAACTCTCGGCAACCACCCAGCTCGCCAAATGGCTCTGATAACTCTCATCCTGCCATCCACCTCTTCCCCAACTTATATGTACTTAATCCTTCTTTTTTGCTTTGTAAAACAGGTGGACACCATGCCAACTCATGTTGCTGTTGCACGATTTCCTGGAAGCCTTTATTCCATCTGCTGTTTGGCTTTTTGTACCCCCATTCAGAAATAAACATTCAAAGTAGTTTTAAAAAACACAAGATTAAGAGTGTTTGGATCCAAAGCTGTGAGGAGAACTTGTGTTCATTTAACAGATGGAAATCCCACGCTGCATACGGGGCAGAATTAACCAGTGGCGTTTTCTCCTGGAGGCCAAGGGAAGCCAGGCTTCCCCTGTTTTTTCGGATTGTAGTTATAATTGTAATAAATAAATAAAAACACTTCGTTTAGTTTCGGAAATTCTTTGTTGTGTGTTTCTGCCGGCCCCATTCTCATTGAGTATTTTACAAAGAGTGAAACAGCGCCCCTCTAGATGTTATGGTGAAACAGTAGATTGCACTCTGTTGCGAGAGGAGGCCAGCCGAAATAGACTGGCGAAGTCCCTCCCCTTCCGGTGGACCTCCATGGGACCTTATTTCGGAAAAATGATGTATTGAAGTCAATGGAGAGAGAAAGATTATCTTGAATTGTGCAACGAATTACACATATGATGTTTGTCAATTTAAAAGATAATTTTGCAAGTCAAAAAAAAAAAGATGTGTTGTAAAACTGTGAAGTAACCAAGGATTGGCTACCCTCACTATCATCACAATGAAACACGTCCAGAAGAATGTCATGCAAAGCTGCCTGCCTTCCTTTTATTCTCTCTGAACTGCCTGGTCTTTTTAATGTTTAATGTCAACCATTTGTGCCGATAGCGTGAAGTAGAAAATATCGCAGATGCTAATGTAGCGTTAGCATTTCTCTCCCGGGCTTAAATTGTGTATTATAGAATGATCACACCGGTGACAGTACTCTTCAAAGGGTTCACGAAATATGACTACTACTACTCTTACTGTTTAACATGTTGGGTTACTTGATGTTACTTTATATTAAGGCTAATAAAAATGACAAGGCTGTAATGCTAACTAACGTGCTAGCTAGGTAGCTAACTTGATCCAGCCACTCTTGGTCCTTTTATCAGACGGGAAGCGAAAGAACGAACAAGACATATTGCTGGTATGATAACAACCTGGTACTAAGCACACAGGCATCTTGTTAAAGTTATCTTATCTTAGCCATTGTCATATAGATAGCTAAAATCAGCGCCATATAGATATAATCTATCTCTTAGTGGAGGAAAACAATTGTGACATCACTTACGCGACTCTGATTTGTAGTCTTTCTAGTTGCGTATTTTTCATAGTCTTTTATTATTTATTATAACAGTTTTACGACAAACTGACTTTTTTGACATGGAAATAATTTTTTAAGATTGACAAACATCATATGTAATTCATGGCACAATTCAAACGCGATCGAAAGATACGTTTTCTCTCTCCATTGACTTCAATACATTATTTTTCCGAAATAAGGTCCCATGGACCGGAAGTAGATGGGCGTGACTTCGCCACTCTATTAGCTTCCCTTGGTGAAAACAAATGGAGGGATTGACCAATCAGACAAGGCTCACGTCATGCCCCTGCCAACCTGTGATTAGTCAGGGCCATGCCAAGGGAAGCCAGAGGCTTAAACATTGTCACAGCTCACAGGATAGGTACCTGTCAGCCAATAAAACAGATATTTATTTCCATTCAACTCTGGTTGGTCTGGTGTCTTGCCTCTGTTGCATTCACTGAACACGGGAAATTATATTCCTGCCGTCCTCTCTAGTGTCATGATGAGGTGCAGGTAAAGCACGGTTAATGTATTATATTATTGACTCAATAATATAATACATGACTTTGAGAGTAGGCAATCTAGGCATATTAACACAAGTCATTAAACATGCTTATCACGGCGACGGTGTACTGAGATTCTTTTTTTTCCATTTTTGCGAGGGTGCCCCTTAGTGGCTGCGGGGCCCTAAGCGGCCGCTTATGTCGCTTAATGGGTCGGGCCGGCTCTGACTGCACCACTCTCACCGCCGTTAGAAAGTAGCAAGCAACTGAAGCAAGTGCAATTATGGAGGGAGGAGATTTGGAGTATTTAATCAAAAATGATTGTACTAAACTTCCGCTACAGCAGCAACAACAAATAAAATCTGATGACAGGCCAATGCCCAAACTGGAGCTGTGTACAGCGAGGAAAAAAGGAGCGAATCGGACGTAAAACGTTAAAGGTCTCCTGATTTAGTTTGTGAATTAATGCTTATTAGAGTTTCGGCTATAGTGCGTGCGGACCTGTCGGTTAGATAACAGGCGTGTGTAAGTCCTGCATCTGTATGATACAAATATACATGTGTGTAAAATGATACCTGGTGCTGTAATTACTCATCTGGTTACGTTATTACATTGACCACCACACCCCCGACCCAAAATAAAGGCTTCCCCTAATTGTCCCCCCACGCCACGTTATTGGAATTAACAGCCTTCGTACACGGTATTCTCGCTGCTACGCATTCTCAATTAAGCAGCCATCGAACTGGGGCCTTCGTGTGCAGCCGAACACTGCAGTCTGTGGTGGAGAAGTACAGCAGGTCATCCATTTCCCATGAGCATGTGCTCTGGTGCTGACAGATCTCTTCATCCAGGATGGGCAGGTCCATGCCTGCTCGCAGTACTTACTGAAAAGCAGTGGTGTAGTGGGGATTTTTTTACTGGGGGGGACGCTATTTGAATTAGGTAATCCCAAACAATGCCACACAAGTGCACTCACAACACGGGCAGACAGGCCCAAAGAAACTACCGGCATGCTTAGTCCTATAGTTGCTGTACTGCAAAAAGTAGACGGCGCTGCGCTCAACACACACACAGACTCAAAACCATGGACACACTGGTATATAAATTACATAAACAATTTATAGGCCTAAATTGCATAAACTACAGTATTGCAACTAAGCAGACGATGATCTGGACTTGAAATTATTCTGATTAGGCCTAGCCTACATTGCAAATAAGCAGACAGCGCTGCTTTTCTCACACACACACACCTTGCGTTTTGAAGACTGATAAATCCGAAATGGATGAACAAACTTTGCAGCCCAGTTTCCCAGCTTTGCAGTCTCCACGGGTATTCCTCTTGTTTCCTCCGCCACATCTCCTCCGTCCATACCTCTGGGAAAGGTGAGCTTGAGCTAGCTAGCGGAACGCTGCTAGCGCAGCTAACGTTGACGTTAGTGCTAGCATTATCCACGTCTTTAGGCGGCTCTTCTGATGATGTAGTACTAGTAGCAACTTCACTTGCTGCTAGCCTCTTTCTTCTTGTGAATTATATTCTTTTTAGAAAAGAAGTCAAGTAAAAAATGTTTGCCTGCCATTATAGAGCTTTTTCGTTAGCATTCTTGAGGGAAAGAGCTACCGCAAAATCGGCGGGCAGTGAGCTGGCTCGCCGTGGGACACACCCCCAGCTCGCCGCGGGGTCATGAGCGTGATGATGAATCATAATTCTTTAAGGAAATCGTTTTTATTTTGTATTATAATTACTGTGAAATGTATTGTGTTTTTGTCATTATTACAACAAATACACACTTGCAACTGATAACACTGGCAATGATTTTATATTTATTAGACTATTAAAAAAAAGATTGTGCTCCAAATAAGTGGGGGTATGCGTACCCCCGCGTCCAACGCCCACTACACCACTGCTGAAAAGCCAACATGTCTTCCTCTGAATGTGTGTTTTTTTCTTCCCTCACCTCCTCACTGAGGGTTACCACTGAGTTCATTCCTAATTTTCTCTGTAAATATCCCCCCTTTCATTGTTTTCTCAACACCTCCCCCAGTAATAACGATAGTAGTTTAATTTAACTACTTTTGGCTGCAGTTTCGGCTCAATTTTTTTTAACTCAATCCTCAACTTTTGAGTCTCCTGAATATTCAGCTTAATTCTCAAAATGTATCTTTACCTTCTTCCTCTGATTTATTAGTTTGACTCGTAACGGATCTTCTTCAAGTTGTTTCTATATATGGCTGGCCATAATGCTCTCCACAGTCTCTCCACCACACCACTGTATTTTTGGCTCACCTTTCTCACCTTCCTCCACACAACTATCAACAGTTTCCTACTCCCAGGCTGCTCCACGGGAAATTGATCTACACGAGTAAAGGTCATGTTTCTCTCACACATCCCCTCTCACCCCTGCATCACCTCCTCTCACCCTCATCTGTGGGTAACCGCTGGTGTGGAGGGAACCCACAGCTCTGACCTCATCTGATATCACAGTCAGCAGCTCTTCAGATTGGTGAGAAGTGACTTCCCTCCCTTCTTTCATCCTCTGCTATTGGTAGGTCTCTCTGTCTTCCCAGATGTTCACAGACTCTGATTGGCCGATGTGTGCTGTTGAGGG